GGCAAGGGCATCTGACTTTGCAGTGCTCTTTAGTTGGTATAATAGCAGCTGCCTTTCCCCATCGTCACCTGCGTTTAGAAGCGCAGTGTCTGCGGACTGAGCTCTCCCACAGCTGCATGCAAAACCCTCCGGGAGCTTAACCGAGAATCCTGGGCTCACTCTGGAGATTCCTGTTCCACCGGGATGAGGGGAGACCCAGGAATTTGTAGCGAAGTTTGTGATGAAAACAATAAACCCCTCCCCAGCTCTGGTCCCGGAAGCGGGAGGACCCTCAGAGGCAGCAGGAGCCACCTGCCCAGGACAGGCTGTGCCAGGAAGGGAGGCACAGCAGGAGGGAGGCGAGGGGAGAGAATAAAACCCCATGTGACACCTGCCACCAGCAGAAGGGTGACTGGTTCCGCATTCGTCACCGATCTGTCTCCTTATGCCTTGATCGCTGCCGCTTCATGAGTCAGGTGGTGTGGGTCCTCTCCGCCTTTCCACAGAGACCTTAGAACCAGCCTGTGGGTTTCTGCCACAAGAGAAATTCCCAAGTGATGCCGACGCTCATAGGCGAGGCCCTTCTCTGAGACTCAGAGTGAATACTTCCCACTTCAAGTGTATCGCCGCCCTTTCAACACGCAACTACAGCTGTATCATCAGTGCTGTGCTCTTTAGAGACGTGGACCCGGTTTCTCTGTTCACCCCGATTCCACGGGCTTCCGTGTGGTCACGGCCAGCCCACGGGCTCGGCCTCGCGAGGAGACTCGGCGTGGGCCCTGCCATGACATAACCAACCAGAGCTCCCTTGTGCCGGCCGGGGGCTTTCCTCTTCCCTCCCACCCCCACCCCGTGTGCTCAGAGTAGAGCCATTCAGTGAAGACCCTTCTCCCTCCCTCCCTGTGTTGTGGGACGGAGCAGGTTCTGTAGATGGTCTCCTCAGCCTCTCCTGTACCTCCCCGCCCACCCTTTAGGGGGCGCGCTTCCGGCCTGCTCTCGCCTCGCCCTCCTGCAGGGAAACCACGGGCTGTTTCCTCGGGAGGCCCCTCCCCTGGCCACTCTGTGCGGTCAGCGGGAGCCACCGTGGGGACTTCCTGGCGGTGGCGGCGTGGGCTGTTCCCAGAAACCGCGCTTCTGCTGCTCGGTGTGGTAATCGGCTCTGAGGACATCCTGCGTCCATCCAGTTAGCTGCCTCATGTCAGCATTTTGGTGGATTTTTAGCCAGAAGTCTTGATTGACATCTTGACAACACTTCCATAGTTGCAGCATTTGTTCTGCAGACACATCCCCCGGACGCAGGCGGGCCTGTCGCCTGGACCAGACCTCTGGTGAATTGCACTTCCCGCGTGCAGTGTTTTGCAATTAGGGAGCGCGCCCCCACCCACCAGGGTTGGCCTGTGCTGTGGAGGAGGGCATAGCTCAAGGGGGTTTCAGTGGCTCTCCCACAGCCAGGCCTGAACACAGGTGCCGACGTCGGAGGCCAGGGCCCGACCCACAGCCTCATGTTCTGTGCGAAGACACCGCGAACGTGCCAGGGACATGCTAAGGAGCCTTAACTTCTGCAGCTGAGACTCACATTGCAGCCAGCCTGCCTCCGGGGCTCCCAAGCGGCTGCAGGAGGAGACAACCCGCATTAATCGGCTGGAAGACACGTGTTCTTAGCACAACAGCCTCATGGATTTTGGGTAGTTTTTAAAGGCAGGTCTTTGTTGTAGTAAAGTTGAAACTGGCTTTTAGTAGGGACTTTTAAGAAGAGGGAGGGGCTTTTATTACCAAGTCCATCCATGGGGAGGCTGTGTCCTGCCTGGCACCAGGACGGTGCCCCGGGGGCAGGTTCCTGGAACAAGAGCCAGCACCCGTGGGGCTGACCCATTGCTTACCACGCCTCACGCACGAACACGCGGGCAGCAACACTTGGCTCTCATGAACTCAGCTCAGATGGTCGCTGTCTGAATGAGAAACATATGCTCAGCTCAGAAAGCCCGACTGCCAGAGTTATCTTTCTGGAGCAAGCAAAACGCTGTCTGGTCTGTGTCGAGTTTGCAGTCAGCGTGTGCATCAGGAGCCACGGGGGCCGGGCCGAGTGTGAGCTGGAGGGGCCGGGCTGGGCTCCGTCCCTCCGGGTGCAGCTTCCTTGTTCTTTGCTGGGATGCGACAGTGTGTGTGTGTGTGTGTGTGTGTGTGAGAGAGTGTGTGTGTGTGAGAGTGTGTGTGTGTGGAAGGACCCCAAGGAGATCAGTGGAGGATATTTGGCTCAAGCAGAATGTTCATTCTTTTCCCTCTGCCTTCCCTCAGTATGATGGGTCTGGGTGTTGAGAGAGAGATGACTATGAAAGAGAGAACTGTCGCTGTCTCTGCATACCAGTGTCACCTAACAGGACCCCAGAGGGGCAGCTGTTGGCAAAATTAGGGTGCCACTTTAACGGCTGGCAGGAATTTGGGTGTGGCCCATAGCACGTGCCATCCTTCCAGCCTCCTGTCATTCGCCCATTACCTGTGCCAGGCAGTGGGGATGGAAAATCATTAAAATGTGTCCTCAAGTGCTCATCGCCTGGCAAGAGGCCAGGTAAGAAACAAAGAGCAGCAGTCACCAACCTTTCGGACCTCACGGACTACCAGTGTCCGCGGATGGTCTGAGGTTGGTGATCGCTGCCCTAGAGGCCCAGAGAGCTTCATGGTTAGAGGCAGGATTGTTCAAGTCCTACTGGGCAGATCCAGGATGGCTTCACGGAGGAGGTGGTATCTGAGCTGCAACTTCAGGGGTGGGTGGGTTTCTCTCAGTGAGGGAGCCAGAAGAGGCCATTTAGGAAGTGAGAAAAAACAGCAGGAACAAAGCTCAGGTAAGAGCCGGGCACCACTGAGGTACTGGCGCCTGCAGGAGAGGGGCAGGTGGTGGGGGCTCGGGATGCCAGGCAGAGAAGATCTGACTTGATGAGCAGTGGGAAACAGCTGAAGAGTTTTGAGCAGGGAAAAGATACTAGAATGCTTTCTAAAGGGCATTGTGCAAAAGGTGTGGGAGAAGGAGCCAAAATATTTCAGAATTAGAGTCAGCTGGACTTAGCAACAGATCAGTGTGTGTGTGAGAGAGAGAGAGAGGGGCGGGGGGAGAGGGAGGAAAAAGAGAGGGAGGAGGAGAGTATGAGTCTGAGTGCCTGGATGAGAGACCAGGAAAATGATGGTGGATTTCAGAGAGAGACAGTTGGTTAGAAGGGCTTGGTGGGGAGAAGAAAAAAAGGGCCAGTTTTAGGGCCTGGACTTCGCTATTTCAAGGCACTTTGCTGACTGTAATTCACTGAGGGTGAAGGACTAAAGGAAGTATTTTTTCTTTATACATTTTGGGTGGAGACACCTAAACTTGGGCTTAAAGGGAGGACTTGGAGGGGAGGAAGGAAAGGGACGTGCAGAGAGGAGTGATGCTGGATGGCACAGCTCAGGCAGAGGTGTGCCCTGGGAGGAAGGACAGCGAGGAGGAGAGAAGACAAAAGACGGAGACTGAAGCAGGTGGGAGAAATCGGGCCCAGGGTGGGGAACCTTGTTCTACAAGGGCCATTTGGATGTTTATAACATCATTCAAGGGCCATGCAAAATTATCAGCTTAAAAACTAGCTGCTATATTTGGTCACACATTGAACGACCTCACTCCGAATGCCTTGGCAGGGCCAGACCAAATGATTTCTCAGGCCTCATGTGGCCTGCGGGCCAGACACTCTCCACCCCTGAAATAGGCCCTTGGTGTCTTCTACAATTATATTTTATGAAAACAAGAAAAATAGTGCCGAGAAGCTGGTGATGAAAATCTGTGCCGGTGCCCGAGTCTCTCCATCACCCTCTCACTCTCTGGGCAACCACGTGCAACTCCTCCGGCTGCCTCCATATTTCTGAAGTGATTGATTAGCTTTACATATCTTCCCATACAGATATTATAGGTAGCATTTAGATATTAAGTAGATGATATGATTTATCAGCGACAGACGGCCTGTGGCTCTCCCATGCCTCTCCCTGCTTCCCCTGCTCCCACTCCCAACAGAGTTACAGCACAAAAATCAAGTCAGTACCTATGCCATTACCAGCTGAACAGTTCAGTAATAGCTAAAGATGATGTTGCTTTTTGCTGAATTAGTAATAGTGTTGCGTTATCATTTGCTAGATTTTATGTATTTTGGAGTCTTCTCACTTTTCAACACTCTCTATGCCATAGTTACTTTATTGAGTTTGAAAATCAAACTAGATGATGTTCAAAATGCAATCACTGGTTTTGCCAGGATGTAATTTTATAGTGTTGGAGCCTGGGCTTGGAGACACCGTGTGGGCCTGAGGAGGTGGGGTGTCTGGCCAGGCGTGGTTCTTTGTAGATGCCCTGTGGGCCCCAAAGGAAGCCTCGTTCCAGGAACGTATTCGTGGAGAACAGGGCGGCAGCTTCCTGGCTGCGTCACCGTGCCATCCTGAGGGCAGGAAGCATGAGTCAGGAGGCTCCTCTGCTGGAAATCCCCTGCTGGGGATCTTAGGGCTGTGGTGAGGGCAAGGCCTGCGCTGGCTGCCTGGGGGCCCAGCTGGGGACACCTGCTTGGGGTTGCCTTGGCATCGGGACCTAGGCCCGCAGCTTCTGAAATCGCCCACAGTGACCCCAAGGCTAGCTTGTCTGCATGTAAGGTCAGCTGGTTTCTTTCAGTAACTTGGGGTACCCCCATGGGATCATTACGCAGTGAAATTGGGAAGTTTCGGATGCTGGAGCCAAGCATGGGTCCGTTGGGAGAGCACAGCCATCATGGAGGGAGGCTGAAAATCCCCTCCCTGGGCTGGGGCCTCCCATAGCCTCCTAGTGGCTCCCAGGCCCCCCGAGGGCAGCTGGATGCACAGCCCCTTCCGTGCCCACGCTGTGGTGGCCGCTCTTGTGCTCCTGGCGCAGGGCCGACTTCGCCGATGCCACATTCGGGACGGCCACCCAAGCATAGAGGGGCAATGGCCGAGCAGTCAAGCCTGAGGTTTTCAACTCTGTTTCTTTCCACTTCCCAAATGCTCAGGGGAGGAGCCCTCAGAAGCACCCCCGCCTCCTCCCCGAGGGAAGGCCCCGCAGGCCTCGGAGAAGCCCCCGCAGTTGGCAGAGGTCCCCACGGAGCCATCTCTTCCAGAGCTGACGCCTCCGCCGCTGCCCAGTGCGCCCCCACCTCCTGAGGACCCTGGACAACAGCTGCACTCGGGCCAACAGCCTGTTCCGCCCAAGAGACCCCAACAGCCGCTGCCCTGGCCAGTGTGGCCTGGCTGGACAGGCCTGCCCTTCCTGCCTGGCTCCACTGGGGTCATTATGGAGACTGGAGAGGCTGGGCCTCCGGGGAGGATGGGCGTGTCGGGGAGAGGCCTGCCCCAGGGCGTGGATGGCCAGATGGGGCAGGCGCCCATCCCCAGCGCAGAAGGCTTCGCGGGAGCACCAGGTAAGGCTCACAGGGGCCAGCACATCTGAGCTGCAGAGGGTGCGACTGCATGGAGGGGCAGTCTGAGCCTCCGGGGCCTGCTGGTGGGTTCAGGGTATAAGGTCCAAAAGGTAGCTCTCCAAAGGTGCTGAGGTCCTGAGGGACCAGTTCATGTGAACCAAACCCCAGAGCCTGGGGCACCCCAGGATCGTGCAATAAATTACACTTAGAATTATCCCCTGGGGATCTTCCCAGCAGGAAGCGAACCTGGGAAACCAAACATGTACCAGGAGCTGACATAGCAGTAAAGACAGCCTGCAGCAGAGGGTGAGCTGGGAGGGTCTGGCTCAAATCCCAGGGTCCACCAGCCCTGGGCCGGCCTCCTGACCTGAGGGCCAGCGCCTTCACCCGAGTGAGGGTGGCGCTAGGACCTCGGGGAGTTTCTGTGAGGACAGGGAGGAGGCCTAGCTCAGTGCCTGCATGGTGAGTGCTCCGCGAGTGTGTCAGCACCCTTGGGGCAGGTGGGGTGGGGTGAGGTCCCCTGCTAACTGGTGAAGGAAAAGGGAGCACATTTGTGGGATCCCCACCACGTGCCAGAGACTGAACCAGGTAGTCAGTTCCTTACAGCTCTCCTGGCGGCACCGTGATGTTATTAGTTCTGTTTACAGAGGGGTAAGCCGAGGCGCCAGCTATGACATGTAAACAGATGTTTTCCAAGCAGTTTGTTTCTATCAGTTTCACGTGTCATGGGTGCTTGTACACGGGGCTGCTGTCTGTCCGTCCCTGTGGCAACACTGCATCCAGCCTGCTGGAGGGCTAGCAGGGTCGTTGGCACGAGTGAACGACTCCGTCTGTGGCCTTCTCCTCCCTGGCTGGAGAAGCCCCAGCGCCTCACCTTTTTCCTTAGTCCCTCATCCAGCTCACCCTCAGGGCCTTCTTCCCTGCCCGGGGTAAGGGGGCGAGTGAGGAGGCAGGTACAGGGGTGCATCTGTTTCTAGGAAGGTGGCTGGGAGGGGTGCCCTTGCTCTATGTCTAAATAGTGTGAGGAGCGGTGAGAAAGAAGGGCTCTGAATGAGGTGCTGCGTGGGGTTTTGTTTGACGTTCCATCCCCATTGTTTTCCAGGGTACTCCAGGTCACCTCCTGCAGCCTCCCCAGGTACGTACGTCTGCCAGGAGACCAGGGCCGGAGGCCAGGCCTCCATGGCAGCCTCTGCCCTGCGTGTCCCTTCCTCCTCATTTCGGACTATTAGTGTGGGTGGTACCGGGCCCAGCCATCCTGCCTGCCAGCTGTGGGCAGGGCATCTGCTGACTGCAGTGGGCTGAGCTCCCCAGAGAGGGTCAGAGTCCTGCCAGAGACAGGACCTCTCCCTCATACATGAACCCAGCTCGTGGAGTTTCCTGAGAGGCCCACTGGGTGCACCTAAGCCTGGTGTGGCCCTGACCAGCTTCCTGGGGGTCCAGGTGTTACTAGTTCTTCAATAAGCAAGCAGCTCCCTAGATTATTCCCATTATCCATTCCCCGCCCCCCCCCCCCCAAGATGCACAATACATCAGTTTGTTCTGAGAAATTATCAGCCTCAGTTCCTCTCCAACAGTCTCTCCCCCTTCGCTCTCACAGTGTTGCACATGTGGTCTCACACATGTATACACACACAGTGTCTAACACACGGGCTCACACATGAATACTCCCAGCCAGTGCCTGTCCCACTGCCCAGGTCTGCCATCCTCACAGCCTATCTGACTGCCTGGCTCTCGGATGGTGTGTCCCGGGTGCTCTACCGCTTGAAGGCAAAATAAAGCAGCAAGGCTGCCTCCCGAGACAGGCACACAGGCCTCGTCTTCCGGGCCCCAACCCCACCTGCCTGCGAACACTCCGTCCTCTGTTCCAGGGGTTCCAGCGCCTTCTCCGGTGTCTTTCTCTGCGGGGCTCACCCAGAAGCCTTTCCCCAGTGATGGGGGTGTTGTCCTCTTTAACAAAGTGCTGGTCAACGACGGGGACATGTATGACCCCAGCACCGGTAAGTCTGGAGGGGTGCGCTGTGTGGGGTCCTGGGGAGGGGGACTCCGACTGGCAGAGGTGCCAGCAGCTGCGGGCCCTGGAGGGGCAGCTGGCAATACTGCTGCCCCCCGTTGTGGGCTGTGAAGAGGGCTCCAGTCTGCAGGGCGACGGGTGTGCAGTGACATTTCCCAGTCATGATGTCAGCATACCAGCCCTCGCCTGGGAATCGTTCATGTGACTGTGGAGATAAAGGCTCTCCCAGTCTGTTGGCGTCACGCCCCGGGACAGGCAGCAGAGTCCGCCCTGCCCTGCCTCCTTCAGCAGCTTGTGGTTTATGATGAGCAGAGCCAGGGCGGGACAGGAGGGCCGCCTGTGTTGTCTCCCCGCCCATGAGAACAGTGCAGCAGAGGTCACCCGAGGTCCTGCATCAGGCTTCCCCTTTCCCACTGGCCCACAACCTGAGCACCTGGGACTGGAGGCAGAGCCCTTCCCACCAGGTCAGACATGGGCATCTGGTCTCCAGGGTAAAGGGGAGGTAAGTCAGGGCAGAGTCAGAGCAGGGGCTGAGGGCCCAAGTGGCGTGGGGTTCCTTCCTGAGGCGCTGGGAGACTGAGAAGAGGCCAGTGCGTCAAGTGGCAGCAGCTGGGCGTCCACATGGGTCCTCCCAGGGCTGCATGCACACAGTGGCTGGTGGATTTGCAGGAGACTGTTGGGAGGTGGAATTGAGTTCCCTCTGGGCAGTTTTTAACTGTCACACTCAGGTTTGCCCTGCCTGCCATCGGCTAAATCGCTCTTATTCTTCGGACAGTGGTTCTTAAGTGTTAGTGAGCGTAAGTCACGTGCAGAAGCTGGAACAGTGGAGCTCCGGGGCCCCTGGAAGCAAGCTCAGGACCCTGCGTGAGGCTCAGGCAGGCCAGCCCAGTGTGAGAAGCAATCTGTGCTTTCAACTCAAGTACAGCTTCCTCCAGGGCTCCCAGTCCATGCTGCCCTGTTAGGGGGCAGCTTGTCCCCTCCGACAGGTCAGGGGATCTTTGCAAGCAGGGATGGTGACCCACACTTCTCCCATGACCCTGGGACCTCCAGCCCAGAACTTTTCTAGTTAGGCAGGTCCTCAGTACATTCAGGGTGACCCTGGCGAACAAGGCGGCCAGGTACCCAGAGTGCTGGGGCCAGGTCTGACTTCAGGGTCCAGGTGCCTAAGGAAAGACTTCTGGAGCTTTAAGTTACTACTGAAAGTTGGAGAAGGGCCCTGGCCAGTGTTGCTCAGTGATTAGCAGAGGTCCTCAAACGTTTTAAACAGGGGGCCAGTTCACTGTCCCTCAGACATTCCACACATGTGCACTGTGGGCCCGGGACGAGTCGGCTGCTAAGCAAGACAGGCAGCGGCGGCAAAAACACCCGGCGGGCCGGATAAATGTTTTCGGCGGCCACATGTGGCCCGCGGGCTGTAGTTTGAGGACTCCTGGATTAGAGTGTCAGCCTGTGCACCAGTGGGTCTCGGGTTCGGTTCCTGGTCGAGGGCACGTGCCTGGGTTGCAGGTTCTATCCCGGCCCCCAGTCAGAGGCACTTGTGGGAGGCAACCAATCGATGTGTTTCTCACATTGATGTTTCTCTCTCCCCGCTAATCCCTCTTCCTTCCACTCTAAAAGTCAATGGAAGAAACATCCTTGGGTGATTAACAACAAGCTGGGGAAGGGAGCCGGTGGCTCTTTTCCAGGGCAGGGTGAAGACCCAGACCCCAAAATTCCTTTTCAGCCCCAAGACTTCCATTCTGCCAGCTCTTGGCCTATGGCCATGTTCCAAATCTCGTCATCTCCCCAGAGACAAGGGACAATGGCTGCTCCTGGCAGCACTTGGTGTGGGCGCCCACTCTTCTAGCTGTGGGGCCACCTACCGCTGCTTTGCAACTGGCACATCTACAAACCCCATTGCCTCTTCCACACGCCAGCCCCACCTCCGAATCTTTGGCCAAGTGAAAATCAGCCAGCTTCTGGCCATGAAGGGATGCCACTTGTCTCCTGGCTCCTCCACAGGGAGCTGGTTGGGTTTTCCCTGTGTGAGTAACAAGCTTTGTGGGTTTTTTGGGTTCAAGCTGTGAGGCTGATTCTAAGTTGGCTTTGGGGTACTTTCAGTGGTGAAAGCTTCCAAGAGGCAACCAGGACCTGGGTGGCTGTTGTTCACTGTACCTTAGGTGGTCAGGGGAGCAGGCCCCAGGCTGGGCCCTGTGTCTTCACCGAGCCCGGGCGGCGCACACGGCATTGCCAAGGCTGGCGCACGGTTGCCAGTGTTAGGACTGAGCTCTCTCCCAGCACTGTGCACAGCACGCAGGGGCAGGTCCTAGGGCTGCGCTGGGTGCAGGTGGGGTGTGGTAATTGTACGAAGGGCTGGAGGTTTTGCAGTATTTGTCCTCTTCTGGATGTGACAAGCATTACACAGTGGGTCTTGCAGAGGACTGGGTCAGTGGCAAAGAGCGATGCCTATCATTGGGTGGGTGTAGGTGGGCTACCTCTCCCACAAGCATTAACTGAAAACCTGTTGCAAAGCGCTGTGATGATGTCCCATAAACACAGGTGTCTGCCTTCTTCCTCCCAGGGATCTTCACAGCGCCATACGATGGGCGCTACCTGATCACGGCCACCCTCACTCCTGAGAGGGACACATACGTGGAAGCGGTCTTGTCGGTCTCCAATGCCAGCGTGGCTCAGATGCACACAGCTGGCTACAAGAGAGAATTCCTGGAATACCACCGGCCCCAAGGGGCTCTGCACACCTGTGGCGGCCCGGGAGCATTCCACCTCATCGTGCACTTGAAGGCAGGAGACGGCGTCAACATCGTGGTGACGGGGGGCAGGCTGGCTCACACGGACTTTGACGAAATGTACTCCACATTTAGTGGGTTTTTCTTATATCCTTTCCTTTCCCACCTCTAGGGCACTGGGGAAAGGTAAGGCGAAGGAAAGTTGTAAGAACTGGAAAGCTTTAATATTATTCACGTTATGTATGTAACTGGAGCACTGGTCTAGTATTCTGTCGACGTCCCACCACCTCTCTCAAGATAACAGCCTGTTCTGGCTTTGGAGGCCATGAACACACCTTAGAGTTCCCCAGCAGGCAGCAAGGACTGACTCCTGTCCTGCCCACGGGCTAGCTGAAGAGCTGGGACACATCCTTACCTCTAAGCCAGGGCCTCCCCAAGCTCTGGCTTTGCCCCAAGGGGCCGGAGCTGGGCCTACAAGGTGCTGCCCTGGGTGAGGCAGTGGGATCCAGTCCTGCTGCTGGAGAAGGAAATGCTGCTGGATGCAGGCCTGAGGTGGAGGGCTGGCCAAAATGGACACCTGTGGCCACAGTCTCTGCTAGTGTTGGTTTATACTGCACGCAGGAGAAGTTTCAACACTGAAGTGCACCTGCCGCGACGAGCCTGGGTCTGCAGTCTGCGGCCCCAGGTCCGGTTCACCACTGCTCACCCAGGCCTCTGCCCGGCTGTGAGGGAATCCAAGAGACTGTTGTGAGCTCGCTGGGCTCCTTGAATGACATGTACAATTTAAGTGCAAAGACAGGGAGTGTCAATAAAGATGTAAAACCACTAAACCACTTCAAGTTACTTAAATCCGGTGCCTTGTGGATTTAGAGTTGTTGCTAAAAGCAAACTGTAGAAAGACGTTGACTTTTTAATGGCTATAGAAAGTAAGCTCGAATAAATTAATCGCAACCATGTAACTTCCTCCTCAGCATCCACGATGTACGCTTGGCTCCTTTTTGCTTGTAAAGACAGCCCAGATGTGCTGGGAGGTCAAGGCCTCCATCTGAGCCCCACAGCTGAAGAGAGGCTCCTCCAGGGCGTGCTGAGAATTCACATCTAATTAGCAGCTGCGTAAGTTAATGAGACTGCTTCCTGCCCACATCACACAGATGTGGCTTTAAACTCGGGTTCCCAGGCAACCAGAGGCCCAACATAAAGCTGAGATCATCTGAGAAAAGCAGGCACTTCCCCCTGCAGAGCACGTTCTGTTCCAGGGAAGCCCAGCACGTTACTCCCTTCCCAGCAGCCACAGAAACCTCTAGGCACACCAGACTCTGCTCCAGGCGGTCTCTGCTCATTAGGTTGGTAAGATCTGTTGGTCAATCAAGTGCCACTGGGGGAGGCACATCGCCTAGCACCTCAGGGAAAGATGTGGACCAGAGACAAGTTTCCTGGGACTGAGTCAAGCCACCAGATACTGTTACGCTGTAACAATTGTGAACATTCCAAGACTGCGTGCCAGTGAGATCACAGGTGGCCACTGGCCCTGAGAGAGGAGCCTTCTTTCTCACCCCACCCCCTGGCAAGGGAGGAGTGGCCAGGAGCCTGAAGGTTTGCTGTTTTAGTATTTTAAAGTAAGTCTGGGTCTCTTTGTCCAGGAGGTTGGGGGAGAGTGGCATTCTCACCCCATTTCTCCAACTGGGGAACTGGCTAAAGGTGGCTGTCAGAGTATCAATGGCTTCCTAGAAATGACTCATGGAAAAAACCCCAGTGCAATAGAGCATTTTCAGGAACATCCAGTTGGCACGCATGCATGCTTTTGCCCTCTCTCCCTCACACCCCCTTGTAAACACCTTAACTCAGTGCCAAAGGGAGTAAGTGCACAATAGTTGGAAAGACAGGGACCACAGATGGTTCTCTAGAGCACCAAGTAATACTTGGTCCTCCTCTCTCAGTGCATTCTGACTCATTTATTAAAAAAAAAGAAAAAAGAATTTCAGTTCCGTGTATCCAAGGTGGGCAAAGTAGACTAAGTCTAACTACAGCAGGTCCTGTGTTCACTTCAGGATGAAGTAGGAGGGAAAGACCAAGAGAAAACACAGGGTCACCTGAGCTGCAGGCTGCAGGATCTGTGGGCAGTCCCTTCCTAGAAAGTAACAGCCCTGTGTGCCTGCGAGTGAGACCTAAGAACCAAGCCCCAGGACTCACGCAGGTGCAGAGGTACAACTTGCAAAATAAAGCTGTTGCTGAGAAAAGGTCAGAGCCCTTCTTAAGGTGAGCAGACAGGACTGAGACCTTCTCCCCCACGTGAACTATTACAACTGGCCATAGTTAAATGACTGCAAGCAGCAATATGATCCCAGCAATAAAGAATGTAAATCAATGTAAAGTGCATTTGAAATTATTTCCATGTTAGCACATTAATCTAGCGTTCTCAGTGACCCTATCATCTCTCCAACTGTTTTCCACAATTTATTTGTAGTTTGAAAGGATAGAGGTATTTGTGATCAGACACACACCAAGTCCATGCTTGTATATTTGAAACATGGCTTTGCATATATCCGCATCCACTTTCTAAACATACATACATGTCTTCCCTGTACTGTCCTATCAAAGGGAAGGAAAAGGAAGGAGACACGCAAACTCTAAGGCAAGCATGTCAAACTTGTGCGGGCCGGAGAGGCATGCAAAAGGGAGAAGGCAAAAGCACGCGTGTGTGCCAACTGGATTTTCTGAGTTGACAGGCTTGCTCTAAGGGGTGCAGAGTGCAGCAGGAGGAAGCTACAGTCAGACAGGCCTCCTGAGAGCAGGGCTAGGACCCAGGCTGCTCCTCCCTGAAGAGCTGGAAGCCATTCCCTTTAGAATCAACCTCCCAGTCTGAGCTCTTCCTTTCTCTCCCTAAAGAACAACACCCCCCACCCAGCCCTAGTCCCGTGTCCCCCCCCCCCCCCCCCCCCCAAACCATCATGGCGCGGAAAAGCAGCATGAAATGAGCGCTTTCCCACTCGAAGGCACACTCTCAAGGGCTTTTTGGGATTCAACACGTCCAGCACATGCTGCATCTGGCAGGACCCAGCAATCTGAAGGGATAAAAAGATGCTCATTTAAATAACACGTGTGATGTGGTTTTTGATTCAAGTTCACTCCGACTCTCCTAAGCCAATGAAAACATCAGGATTGCTAATTGTGTTCACCCCAGGGAAGGTTTAATGAAAGGTGGGATACTGTGAGCAGGACTCTCAGGGGAACCGGGAAAGGGCTGAGGGTGGAATGGAAACACAGTTTCGAGGATTCCAGTGAGCACACACCAGAAATCGCATATGGATGAGTGAATCATTCCCTGGCAGGACCTACAAAGCAAGAGATTAGTTCCTGAGGGTGTAGCCTCACTTTCGGAGTCAGGTTTTATAAAAACAAGCACCAAAAAGAAGTCCTTTCTGTAGACAAATTTAAGTGTCAGCAAAGATCAAAATGCTAATTTATGGAAATTAACAATTTCTGGCAAGAGTATAGAGAAGATGGTTTAAATGTCCTCTGAAGGAAAGAGTCGGACGCAGTTTACGTTTGTTTATTGTTGTAACATTTTGTTTTGAACATCAAACACTGCACCAAAATAGGAACCATTTATCTTAAGACAATGGTCTTTGCCATAACTAAGAGTACTGGACTGATGCTTACAATTTCTGACAACTTAAAACTTTTTAGTGGCACTGCTGTCTAAAAATCAAATACTTCATCAGAAAGTAATTATTAAATTAAAAGAACAAAGTTTCCCCCTCCCTTCTTACCTTCAAACCAAAAACATAGTTTTCATCTGGAAAGAGCACTTACTTGAAACAAAAACTCAATTTTAACTAGTTACGTTATACCCAGCATGCTCTAAAACGGGTAAGCAAGGCTTCCTAGAGTAAGCATGATGATCTCGAAAAGTTAAAATTCCCTGGAAAAGTCTGTTGTCACCAAGTTGCAAAAAGAGGAAGAGTTGCCTTCTTGCCTGTCTTTAAAGGGTCGTGCCTGCACCCTGAAGCACACACTGGACGGGTCGTGTGCAGTCTCTGGGGCACAAGTACTTCCAGTCATTTACCAGCTGTCCTCCCTGTGACTGTTAGCAGCTTTCATTTTAGGACATCACAGTAGTAAGTTTTTTCTTTTTCCAGTTGAAAACTATGCGGATGTGTTAAGCACAGCAAACATGGGACACACAGAGCGACACAGGCATGCTGTGGGCCCACACGTGCAATTCCTAATGCCTGGGAAGATGCAGATGCCGATGCCACAGCCGCACGAGCTTCACCACACAGACATCAACGCCGATACTAAAGTCAGGTTGAGCTGGAAAGAGGGAAGGGGCCATGGCTGTTTCACCAGTGAAGCAACTGAGAAAATGACTTAAAAGAGCCCGATCTGCCTGCAATCTCTCCGTGATACCATCCATCACCGAAAGCAGCGCAAGCTAATGCTTCTTCACTCACTCACTTTCGTAAGGGTCTGTGTACAAACACACTCGAGGGCATCTCTCTTTCACAGAAAGAATACACGTCATTTGTACCAAATGGCAATGGGTTTTCAGCACAAACAATACTTTTACCACACTACAGTATAGCAATCATCTACTTTTCAGCAAGAGGGACTCCTTTAAATAAGGAAAAAGATATGTTAATTAGTGTATGTACCCACTGGATCAATCTACAGCAAGGAAATGACAGTGTAGTGCTTACGGACACTTGGGCAAAGGGATCAGCCGCCCTCAACACAGAACTGGGAGACCCGGGTTCCTACAGTAAATCTTCTAGATAGGCCCACGTGTCCAGAGAGAAAGAAACTGTCTAGTCAAAAGCTCTCTACAAAAGATATGTATTAAGATACTTCATACTGCACATGTGCAGAGGCTCAGGTCAAGCACATAAAATTCTTCTAAAGCAAATACAGTCGAGGACACACTGACGGCATCTATGAGATCAAGTAATGGCCACTCTACCAGGAATTTAATTCACTAACTGGGAAGAACTTCATAAAAACATAACCTAGTTTCCCTAACCTACTGTACATAAAGAAACTCATTAAACAATTAGACCCTGACCTATTGAAGGCGGGAAAGTTTGCACTGGAGGAAGTATGTGCTGTTTCCCCTCTGGCAACGTGTGCCTCCAGGTTCTGCCACTGAGAACCGCATTCAAGGGCCTTCGCCATTGTCTCTGCATCCAAACGCACTAGGAAAAATGGCTGAGCTACAGCAGGGACTTTCAACTCTCCAATCTGGAAAAATAACCACCCCCATTTCTCCATCTTTACATCAGCATTATTTTGGGTGGAGTAAACAAAAATAAGGAGAGCCCCCCAAACAAGCACAGGTGGAAGCAGAGGTGGAAATGGAAACCCTCCTGAGCGGGTGTGCCTGGACCTGCAGTTCTCCCTCTGCTCTGGAACTCGGCTCACTGCTTTCTCACCAAGAGGGCCGCTTGGTCATTTTTGGTCCCCTGAAAACTTCCTCTCCAACAGTTCTGTTGGTTTTAGTACGGAGTTGATTGTCAACACCCAACCTGATCTCTCCAGGCCTCAGCTTACAGGACAGAAGCCTTCCCCAGTGCTGTCTGCTTGGACTCTGACCTGAGCTCAGTACAACCAGGCTGAGAAACTGAGGGGCAGGCAGGTGGAGAGAAGGACCCTTCTCAGGAGCCATAGTAAGTGCACATCTGCATTTCCAAGGCCTCCCTGAAAACAGCTGTTCTTTGCTGCTTAACCAACACTCACTATTATTCCTATTCTTACAGACATAAAACATATCTTGCAAAACCATTTCTTCTTGCTAGGTTCACATCATGGAGCAGTCACAGATGAGAAGGTGGCTTTTCCTCCCCAGGAGCCCATATCTGTGGGGTGGGATGAGTGGCCCCAGCAGCCGTCTTGTTTCAGTGTAGCAGGGAAGGAGGAACCCACAGAAGAAATGTGAGCAAGCGATTTGAGCCAACATCATTCATCGGACCTGAAGCAGCTCGGGGGACCCAGAACCCCTTAATAAAGCCCTGGTTTTACAGAGAAACACTTTCAACTGCCCAGTGGAAATTATAACACTTTACTTTGTGCAATATTTTGGTCCACTCTAATTTAGCTTCTTTTTACTTCGTTTTAATTTATGCAATTAAAGGAGCACCCAGCACACAACCTGACACAGAGTGTGCATGAGAACCGACCAGTGACAGGAGCCTAGGTCTTCGACCTCAGGTCTGAGCTGCCCTCAATTCTGCTGAGGCACTGAGCTGTAACTCTGCCAAGCCCAGGAGGGTAAGGAGAGGGCAGTTCCTGCTCCACAAGTTCACCTTGTCCCTGCTGGTACCTCGCTGTCAACATAGGTCTTGCCCCACACCTGTGGCTGGGAGGGGCTCCCAGTGTCCTCTGTCCAGCAGAAGTGCCGGTCACCTTCTCTAGCTGCAAGGCGGGAGACTGAGGACCTCCCAGAGGGGCTGCCTCAGGCCAGGTCGTCCAGGTCCACTTTGGGGATTGGGTCCCGCCAGTAGCAGAAGGAGCTGAACTCTGGGCATGGAAAGGCAGAATTCTGTTCCTTGTTGAGAAGTGGGAACACATGCTCCACGAGCTCACTCAGTCTGTGATACCTAGAAGGGATTGGAGAAGAAAAGTACAGACTCTTACTGTGAAGTTGATTTAAGAGCACAATACTATAGGTTGTAAAGCTAGTTATTCAGATTCCTCATATGGGTAGGATCTGAGACAGGTCTCCATCCCTTCCCTGGGCACAAAGAGAATCAGCAATCCCATAAATAGAGGGGAAAATACCCTGGCAATGAGGAAAACCTTCAAAGGCAGTGGTGATTCTGACACTTTGAGCAAGGCCCGATCCTTAGTATCTGTCTGTCACCCTGGCTGCACAGCACGAGGCTGAGAAATGGGAACACACTTACGATGACTTGTTTCCTTTGGTCCTTTCTTGAATTAATTCACCCTTGGGGTTCACAGTGAATATTCTGCAGTCTGGAACTCCAACTTGTATGTAAGCATAAACGTCCTGGAGAAGAAAACATGAAGGAGGAGGATTATAGGGAGGAGAAATTAGGCATTGCTTCTCCAGTTCCTTGTGAGCCAGAACTGCACAAACAAAAGACCGTCTCTACAGAAAACATGCAGAACTGGGCACCATGTAGCTTTGCCACTGAAACTGAACTTTAGACAAATCCAAACAAAAAGTGGAGCCAAACCCAGAGAGTGCTGGGGGATTCAGGAAATGTGGGCGCCAAGGAGATGCCAGTGGCACCCTGAAGCAAGAGGAGCTCCACTGCCCACCAGAGGCCAGGAAGCAGCCCTTCTGCATGCCTGAGGGATCTGAAGGCCCCTCTAAGTAGAGGCACGTCAGGAAAGTGTCAATTAAGGATGAGCACTCATGCCATGGTTTTGGGGTGGATCTAAGGAAACGGCTTAACCACCTGAGGAAATAGGAATTGAAGCCACAGAAACAAAGAGAAAGTGCCCTTCATCATATACCAAAATTCTGGGGCAGATCTCCACTTCCAGGATCTCCCCAATTACTCTAAGAATTTGGAATAGATAAAGTGAAAACCTATTTATCAGGATAGACATGCATTTTGCCTATAAAATTCATTTGAGAATTATGACATAGCTAACACCCTAAAAATACACTCCCCTCAATATTACCCACCACATCAGAATGTGCAGCCCAAAGGAGACACTTACATTTGGACGGTTTCCAAAGGCAGCATAAAAGGGCTGCTTAGATGGGGCAAACAGATTCTTGATATCATTTAGACACTCAATTTTGAATTTCTCTGGTTTCTTTTCTATCACTTCCCTAGGGGGGGAAAATTCAAATAAAGTCACCAAATTCAAAATGGTAGTATTCCCTGGTGTATGGTACTGAAATATTTTAGAGTGCATGACCACCCATTTTAAAAATGTAATTGGTCTCTTTCCTTCTCTGCCAGTCAATCTGATAACTACGAATATTTGATGGGGTTTGGAGAAAGAGAAAATGGCCACTCCTAGAACTTAACTTTCCTTGACCATGCTTGATATAGACCAGGTGAACTGTGACTTAGAATGCTATGGGGGAGACCTGGCTGGTGTGGCTCAGTGGTTGAGCACTGTCCTGTGCACCAATAGGTCACTGGTTTGATTCCAGGTCAGGGCACATACCAGGTTTTGGGTTTGATTTCAGGTAGGGTCACATACAGGAGGCAGCCAATCAATGTTTTTCTCTCTCTCCCTCTCCCTTCCTCTTTCTCTAAAATCAATAAAAATATATTTTTAAAAAGAATGCTATGGGGAAGCCAAAGAACTATGACAAGCTCTGAAACAGATACAATCCCTTTCTACAAGCCTGACACCCATCCTCACACAGTCCATTCAGGCCCCAGCACCTCCTCCCACACACTCAGAGGGGCTGCCTGTTGGGAGTTACCTGTGGAAGGCGGAGAACAAGCTGCTGGGGGACAGCATCAGAGGGCCCCGGGGCAAGATCGTGCCCTTGTCGTTGACCCAGTGCAGGTAGCCCCGGGTCATGTCGGCCATGCCGATGGCACGAGCAGAGCAGTACAGAAACTTGTAGCCATTCCTGAAAGAGAATGTGTCTTATTTAGCCCATTGTGCTTTGGGTAAAGGCAGGAGAAAAAAAGAAGCACTTTTCTTGTCAAAGATCCAAATAGAGATCCTCCCATTTATTGTGAAAATCAAATTATTGAATTTGACAGAAATACAGGATTATAAAGATTTCACCTTTCCATGGAAAACACCACGGGGGAAAATGAAGGTATATGCAACTAGGGATTATGCTAAGTTTACAAGTACTGATGTACATTCATCATATAGTCCAATGAAAGGCAGACTACAGAACAGACAAAAATCTTAGACTATCTTTAAATGATCTGCTATGCAGTACAGACACAAAATATCTTATTTATAAAGACAATTTGCAGAAGGCAAGCCATTCTATAAGCCAAGGAACAAAATTATACCTTGGTGACTGACATAATTTTCATATTAGGGCATCCTCAACTAATGTTTAAGACACTAATTTTTCAAGTCAATTTAACTCATATGTATTAGGGTCCCATGAAGGCCATGGCACTGTTTCTTCTCTGCTGCACTGGCATAGAAGACCCCAGGAGTGAAATGATGCCCCCATGCATGTATGCATGACCTCCTCAAAGAAATACCCAATTTAAAAGTAGCCAAGTACCTAATTAATAAAGCAAAACTGAAAATTGGCTCGTTACATTATAAGCTAAAAACCCAATTATAGCTCTAAGTATAAATATAGATAGTGCCTAAAATTCATAGCGTTGTGAGAATGAGATGATAGATGTTGGCTGCCACTTTCGTTTGTGTGAGTGGGAAAGAAGAGTGGTCATAGCTGGATCATGAACACACGTGATTTCCATGTACGCTATTTTTCGAAAGTTTTTAAAGCAAAATTCTAGAGCACATTAGCAGGTGGGACAGGAGACCTACTCGTTGATGGCATGGTAGAGCTTTGCAATACCCTGATGAGTCCAGTCTTTACCCAGCTGTGGAAGAATCTGTCCCAAAGCATCAGACCTAAGAGGGTAAAAGTAGGAAAAGGTATTGGGAATCAAGCATATAAAAGCCAAGTGTTTTCCTTTTTAGTTATATACCAGCTGCCGAAAAGCACTGGGTAGAGGGGCAAGACAACTGACAGGGCAATTTACAGTGAGGCAGTCTCCTGCAAATACACCACTGAGGAGCTTCTGAAAACAGAATCAGACATGACAGCCAGCTGTTCATTTTCAGAGATAATTTACAACTACACACCTTTTCCTCTTTCTTAATCTCAATAGCTTCTCAGTTTTTTTAATGCCAAAATTTAGAAACAAAATAAATATTTCCAAAAGTTATTTTCGACATTACGTTTGTATGGCTCCACCCATCCCCTCCATCTATGTGTGGACTGCACTCAGGATGTCTCAATGTATATAGTTTAAAAAACCCTCCTGATGATGACCAAGAGCTGGGTGTTTGCTGAGGAAACCTGCCTCCCCACTGCACACTGCCTGACCTGAGCCTCCTCCCCCTGCCACCCACCACGAAGCCCTGCTTACTTGGTTATCGTTCCATCTATATCGGAAATGATAATCTTGTCATTCCAGTTCCACAAGTAAATGGTCCCTGCACAGCGGCAGGTACCTTGATACTGGGTTGTAATACTAAACACGACATCATTTGGACCATCTTGGAGTTTCAATTTTGCCTTTTATAAAAAGTAGAAGAATAAAGAAAACCGCAGAGGCAGAATTTTAAAAACTGATGGAATTACACACATCAAAAAGTCACATTTTCCAATAATTTGTAGTCACTGAGAGATTGCCTAAGATATAATGGTAAGTGAAAAGCAACCTAATCTCCAAAATGTATAAATATACATATATGTGTATGAATACATAAAAATGGGAAGGAATACATTAACAAGATAATTGGAAACTTTAAAAAATCAGATGAAAACAGTTTGGCACAGAGTCTAAAGGTTTACAAAACAGGATGGATCACTCAATGAGCTGGGCCTAGGGAGCCACTGCTTGAAGAGTGCTTGGGATTCCAAGAGACTTTTCTAATCCCCCAAACAAAAAAAAAACCTCTCCGCTCCTTCTCCATACCCAAGACTGGCGGCACAGCAAAACCATTTCACACTGAAAACAGGTGAAAGCAGGGAGTAAAAACAAATAGGAAAGGGGAAATTGTGTCTAAATAGGAAAACATAATTCTCTATTGTTGTGGCTCTTGAAACAGTGGGTGACCCAGTGATGAGAGAGCTGTGTAAGATTCATGAGGAAACAAGTTAAAAATACAGATTTCTCAGCTCACTCCCAGAAACTGAGGTAGCAGGGTCAGGGGTGGTGGAGGAAGCTACATCTCAGGTTCCCCAGGTAATGCTGGTGGTCCCTGGAGGTGGACATTTATGTGAGCATTTATACGTAAACATCTATACAAACACAGTGTCGTGTGTGTGAGGCTTGTGATCAAATGCACAGAAGAGGAAGGAGGTCAACTTGAACAGTTACTAAGACAATCCAACCAAATCCACATGGATCACACACTACTCACGATCTGGTCTGAGGAGAGGCGGAGGGACTTCTTATACGAGGTTGTGCTGCTGTGGCTTGGGGGCTCGCTGGGGATGGGGTCCATGTTGACTGACTCTTGAAGCTCCTGTGACCCCTCGTCACTGGATGAGTCATCCTCTGCTGACCTATTCAACATCAACCCAGTTACTGAGGAGACAGCAGCTGTTTTATTGGTAAGAGCTTTTCATTTAGGATAAAAGAAGAAAGAGATCCTAAATCTATTCTAGAAATGGAAACAGTTTTTCCCTCTGCTGCTCTCCCACATCCTGCTTCCATGCCTGCATATTCCCTTCATGAAGTGATAAAGCCACCTTCCTCCTCCCCCCCCTCATGATTGGCCAGAGGTTACTTTCTAGCTATGACTGGGTATTTTCTGCTGTGACCAGTGAATGCTACTTATAAAAGTAGATATGTATATTTCAAAAGGTACAAATAAAAGGAAATCTACTTGCTTATCTTGATTTAAAAAACTAACAAGAAAGATTTCTTACATACTGTTTAACAGAAGGGGGTAAAGAGTAAGAGTATACTGTCACACAGACTACTGAACTAAAGAGTTAGGGAATAGAAGAAGAAAAGAAGCTGACTGGGGAAAGTACATCGATGGCAGAAAGAAGAATGGGGTATATGGTGGCACTTCCTCCAAAGGCAAGCCAATGTGAATGTCCAAAGGGGTGCTACTTCTTCCAAGAAATCAAAGAGAGCAACAATCTGAGATTCTCTTTTATATCTCCCTTTTGTGCTCGAAAGGAAACGAGGGAGCAGGGGCACCAGGGACAGCCCATCTTAGGACTCTTCAATATTCCCCCTTCCCAAAGGCCTATATTTATTTCAGAGGCATCGATTCCATGGCTCCCAGATGGAGGGGCAAGGTATTTGGGAAGCAATGATGAGCTACTTACTTTCCTAACTGAATAATGTATATGTAGTTTAAATTCTTGCTCAAGGATATGTTAACTGATTTTAGAGAGAGAAAAGGAGGAGAGGGAGGGAAATAGGGAGGGAGAGAGGGAGAGAAACATTGATGTGAGAGAGAAACATCAATTGGCTGCCTTCTGTATGCACCGCAACCCGACTGGGATTTGAATCTGCCACCTTCTGGTGTACAGAACAACACTCCAACCAACTGACCTACCTAGCCAGGGCTTAAGCGAGTATTATTTTTAGAAAAGCAGAAGTTATCATCTGCTAGCCGAGTGGCACGAACAAGCCACTTATTCACCTATGTCCACAGGAGAAAGATGTTTCTAACTAAAAATGAAACAAAATCACCCAAATCAACCTGAATGCAATAACCAAAGCAGGGGCGACCCAAGTGCTGTGAGCCTGGAGGAAAGACAGGGTGTTTCCACCTGCTACTGGCCAGCTCCTTTGTGCTTGATGGCAGGTCACTGGTGGATGGCATCTCGGATTTTCCTTCCTTGGCCTCTGGCAGCTAAAAAAGCAAGATAATAATGGTCAAGTGCAGCTTTTCTCTCTACCGACAAACAAAAATTCATCAGCAGTCCTTGCCAAGAATAAGCAAAACTACTTTCTGAATCTGCAACTTAAAAGTGCTCAAGAAAACACAGTTTCTCTAGTTTGAGCCAAAGGACAGAAACCTGAGATAAAGGGTGTCCCAAAAATCATGCAAGAAGTAATTCTGATAGAAAACACAGGTTTATAATTAAAAATTGTAAATTTTTTATTGATTCATAAAGTATACAGTATAGGGGTATGTATGGAATAGCATATCGGGTAAATGGCCTCCATGGCTTTGCTGGCACATACGCATTCTTTTGTTGAAATTTTCCATGACCGTTTTGCATAAATGTGGCTGAATTTCGATGAGGCTCATTTTCATCTTGATGGCTTGGTTAATCAACAAAATTGTCACATTTGGGGTTCAGAAAATCCACAAGTGATTGTTGAGAAACAAATGCATCCACAGCGTGTCAGTTTGGTGCAGATTTTGGACTGGAGGCATCATCGGACCATTCTTCTTCAAAAATGCGGCTGCTCAGGCAATAAGAAGGGTGCATATGTGCCAGCAAAGCCGTGGAGGCCATTTACCCGATATGCTATTCCATACATAACCCTATACTGTATACTTTATGAATCAATAAAAAATTTACAATTTTTAAATATAAACCTGTGTTTTCTATCAAAATTACTTCTTGCGTGAATTTTGGGACACCCTTTAGAAGTCACATGCTGCTCCACAAAAGCTGTCACTATACAGCCAGAAGAAAAATTTTAAAAGAGCATCATTTCAAGTCACAAAATATAGTACAAGTGGTCCACAGCAGAGACACTGGGATTGCAGAACAGAAGTGACTGATGCCCCACTTCCTGTGTAGGAGGGCAACAAGCTCTTGCTCTAACTAGAAGGTACTGCAGCGAAGTGGAAAGAACACAGGCATTAAAACTGATCTCAAGGTCAAACCCTAGCTCTGTCCCTTCCCAGTCAAGGAATTTCACCTCTTTGTGCCCACTTTCCTTACCTATACACATACGAACTCAAACATCTATACTCTTCGGGTTACATATGTGAAGCACCTAGCATAGGACTTGCACATAGCAACTGTTGAAAAATGGTGACTATTACTGTAAATTTATATACCCTAAATGGGCTTTATTGTGCTTGACAGTGTTTTGAAAAAATCAAAGATGCACTTCTTTTCAGCTTATGGAAAGGATACTTCCAGGCTGGTTACCTGTTTGGTCATGCTTTCTCTCTTACGCCAAAACCACCAGCGACCAGATTTCTTTGGCATCTTATCTTTGACCCAGGACTCGACTGTGGCCTGGAAACAATCAATTTGGGTTAGTCTAGAAATCTGTTAGTCACAAAGCACCCAACTACTTTCTACCACTAGCCTGCAGGAAGTGCCTTATCATGAAGTTTGAGCAACTATCTCCACATCTCTGAAACTCCTCTGGAGTTTTTAACACCAGAAGGATGGACAGTGTCCTGTCTCATGGCAGTAATGTGGTATGAGACCAAGTGGTTTCAGGCCACGTAGGAACAGCCCCCTCAGGGGCTGGCAGGTGCGCTGCTCTCACGTCTCTACCCTTGGAAAATGTCGCTCTACTGAGCTATGAGGACCAATTAGGCTGGTGATGTCTTCTTGCAGGACAGATTCAAAGCAACCCTCAAAAATTTATTAACCACAATTTGACCCAATGGCACTGATGTCATGCTTTTGGTGGCTACATCACCCTCTTCTTGCTGCTGCTTTCAATATTAATGAGAAGACCTTTTTTTTCATTCACTCTATATTTAACAATTAGAAAAATCTCTGAACTTTTAAACACAATCAGGAAATGGTATAAATACCTAGTAAAAATGACAATGATGTGGCAGCCTAGGTAACTTCCTAGATTTTGGACACGAGATCATTTGAGTAGGCACACAGAACTCTTTGGATCTTTTACAATATTAAATAAAACTTTGAAAAGTACCCAGTTTAGAAATATGTACATATGGAATTTTCTAAGTACTATATGCTGTAGATACTTTTGAAAAGACAACAAACAGCAGACCAACTCACCTTAGGCAAACTCTTCTGGAATACTTGCAAGCTAAGGATCATTGGAGCAGCCAAAGCCCAGTTATAGTAACTGTAAGAAATAAAAATTATGTAAAACCATTACACAGAATGAGGAGTGAGAGAGAAGAGGGTAAAGAGAGATAAAGAAAAGAGGCAGCCCTAGCAAGTTTGGCTCAGTGGATAGAGCGTCGGCCTGTGGACTGAAAGGTCCCGGGTTCGATTCCGGTCAAGGGCACATGCCTGGTTTGTGGGCTTGGTCCCCAGTAGGGGGCATGCAGGAGGCAGCCAGTCAATGATTCTCTCTCATCATTGATGTTTCCATCTCTCTCTCCCTCTCCCTTTCTCTCTGAAATCAATAAAAATATATTTAAAAAAAAAAAGAAAGAAAGAAAAGAGGCAAACCCAGATAGCATGGCTCAGTGTTGAGAGTTGACCTATGAACCAGGAGATCACTGCTCCTCGATTCCCAGTCAGGCCATATGCCCAGTGTGGGCTGGATCCCCAGTAGGGGGCGTGCAGGAGGCAGCCTATCAATTATTCTCTCTCATCACTGATGTTTCTATCTCTCCTTCTTTCTTCCTATCTGAAATCAATAAAAATATTTTTTTTTAAAAAAGAGGAGCGAGAAGTAACAAAATTCCTTATTCTTCTCATTAAAAAGATTGTCAGCTAAGTTTTTTTGTCAGGTGAAATGTCTCTGAAAAAAGAAGCAGTAATAGCTACCAAAAATAACATTTTAATACTCCACTTAAACATGAAGCTGAAGTCCTGGCCAGTATTTCTCAGTGGTTAGAGCATCAGCATGTGCACCAAAGGGTCTTGGGTTTGATTCCCAGTCAAGGGCACTTACCTGCTTTGCAGGTTCAATCCCTGGCCCCTGTCAGGGCACATAAGGGTGGCAACCAATCGACATGTCTCTCCCACACTGATGTTTCTTTCTCTCTCTCTCTCCCTCCCTTCTTCCTTCCCTCCCTTTCACTTTCTCTAATAATTGAGGGGGAAAAATATGCTCAGGTGAGGATTAATCACCAGAAAAGGAGCTGAAGCTTCATTGCCCATTAGCTCATTTATATAAAATATTTTATACCAAGAAAGATGGTAATAGTTAAAAAGAGCACTTGGAAAACAACCTTGTGAAAGTATTTAACAATTACAAAAGCAAGACTATTTACCGGTTATATATCCGTATTACAAGGTTAGGATTGTCTATGAGTCCAGGGTTTTCTGCAAATTCATGGTAAGTGATGATATGCTCCATGAATTTTTCTGCAATGTAAAATAATAACAATTAACTTGGTTAGAGATTATATAAATTCCCAAATGACATTATCATATCACTCTATGCACTGAAAAGATTATAGCATAAAGTATGTCCTTTTTAAAAAGGACTTTTTTATGTCAGAAGTTTTTCCCCAGAACAAGAAAGAACATTTCTATCCTCTCCCTCCTCCACAACGCCTCCCCCAGCTAAAAACAAACAAGCGAAAAAACAGGAGAAAGAGATATGCCAGAGACTTTTAGGAAAATAAGATTACAGATTTAGTGCTTGAATAATAATTTTTAGTTTACTTTGTAAATAGTAGCGGAAGAGATTTTAAATTTCTTTTTAAGCTTAAATTTACTTTCAGACAGCATTCTTTTTGGCTACTGCTTATTTGCATATGTATGCAAATTTTACTTTGGACCTTGTTAGAACCAATTGCTCATAAAATATTGGCTTCTCATATATAGCAAATTGTACAGCAAAGACAGTATCCCTTTTATATTACTCATATTAGGACTCATACCACCCTGCCAGGTCCTTTAACAAAAGGAAATACATATGTGAATCAGTTAATTGTTTCATTACAGCAGGCAAAACAAATTGTCAAGGAATGTCCCACTTATATGTTACATCTGCCTCAAAGGCCTAATACAGGAATTAATCCTGGAGAATTGATAAAGGAACATATCTGGCAAATGGATGTAACATATTATACTCCTTTCGGATGCCTTAGGGCATTGCATGTCTCTGTAGATACCCTTTCAAAGGTCCTATGGGCCACCGCATCTACAGGGGAAATGGCAAAACAGGTCACTTCATTAATCATTGCCTAACTACTTTTGCCATCATAGGAATTCCAAAAATTATTAAAACTGACAATAAACCTACATAAACGCATTTCCAGCAATTTTGTAAAAATTCAGCACATTACAGGAATACCACACAATTCCCAAGAACAGGCAATTAGAGAATGCCAATATCAGTGGCTAAAATCCCAACTTGAAAAACAAAAAGGGGGAATAGTGATGCTGGCGAAATCTCTGTAGGTAGACTACACCAAGCCTTAATTACTTTAAATTTTTTCACTTGTAACGCTGATGACAAGACACCTATGGAATTACAATGGTGTCAAAATAAACCAAAGGAAAATGGTTTGGTTAGATGGAAAAATCCTGAGTCTGGTTTATGGAAAGGTTCTGACCCTTTATTAATTAACCTTGGTCAAGAATATGCTTGTGTATTTCCAGAAAACTTCTCAAAGCCTGTGTGGATTCCTGCAAGAAACATCAAACTTCAACATGAATCTGCAGAGAAGAACTGACCAAACTGATGAGGACCTTGACCCTGGAGCCTCAACCTGTATCTGTGGCTGCAGACAGAGGACTGCTCTGGCCCCAAAAGCAGAAGCCCCAAGCAAACTTATGGACTAATTCCTTAAATGCCTGACAACAGTTTCAAAAGGACATGACAGAGCTCAATCCTTTTCATTGGATCTTCCCACATTTGCCTTTTAGCATAAGCACTATTATCTCATTCTTGTTCTTATATATTTAATTCTAGTCTGCAGATGCGGAATGAAAACTCTTAAAAGGACTGAGCCCTGCAGAGGGCATACACCTTTTAGGCTTTATTAAGAAAATCAAAAGGGGGAAATGTCTGAGGTTAAAGCAAACAGTAGTTAGCATATCAATGCAAAAAGACCCCTTGGAAGGCCAATGGAAAAATCAGCATAATATTGCCCTGCTGTGGGTTCAATGGCTCAAGGCAGTTTCCTAACCTGATCATCCTTATGCTGTTTACCAAACTTTACCTTTGATCTGCCTGTATGCATTGCTAAAGGGCAAATGTGTATTCAAGTAAATAAATAGTGGACCAGGCCAGAAGTCGGTGTGCCTCTTCAAGAAAGAAGGTCTCTACCCAATGCCTTCTAAATTCGTATTTCTTGTATAGCATTTTCACTTGTGCATCGGCCCCTTCTTCTGATCCTGAACCCCGCTGTGAAGGTCGTGGCACAGGGCAGCCCATGATCTCTCAACCTATTAATGTGAAGTGAGAGCCTTTAAGGCTCACTTCCTAATCCAAGCCATTTATATGTAACTAGAGGCCCGGTGCACGAGATTCGTGCACTGGAGGGCGGGTGGTCTCTCAGCCTGGCCTATGCCCTCTTGCAGTCTGGGAGCCCTCAGGGGATGTCTGACTGATGGCTTAGGCCTGCTCTCCACGGACATCCTTAGCACTGTTGCGAAGGCGGGAGAGGTTCCCACCACTGCCGCTGCACTCACCAGCCATGAGCCGGCTTCTTGCTGAGCAGTGCTCCCCCTGTGGGAGCACACTGACCACCAAGGGGCAGCTCCTGCATTGAGCGTCTGCCCCCTGGTCAGTGTGCGTCATAGCGACAGGTTATTCCGCTGTTCAGTTGATTTACATATTACCCTTTTATTATATAGGATGTCACCCCATATGAGGTACCTTAAGTGGGGGGGCTAAAGGTCTTACAGTAAAAGGAGACACGTGTATAGGATAGTGAAGACCTGGGGGGTAGTTAGGGGCTGGGAGAATGGGGGAAGGGGAGGGAGGGGGAATGGGAGATATCTGCAATACTATCAACAATAAAAAATACATTAAGAAAAAAAAAAAGGAGACACCTGTTACCTGCACAAGATGATTAAAAAATTTTAATACTCTAAAACAGCTTAATAGTAGTTTTTTAATCAAGTGATGACCAGGCTTCTCTCTCAAGTGAAGACAGGGCATGACTGCCCAGTGTACCTTTAGAAATTTCTCCATTCTCACTGAGGCCCCCACAAAGGGAGAGGGTCACGTCGGGCAAGTCCATGGCAGAATCTGAGAGGCACTCAGTGCCACTATCGGCAGCCGCACTTCCCACAGACTGTGGGGACTGGGAACCAGAGAGCGTGTCAGACTCAGGCCACTGCCTGGAGCCAGGGTCTGATTCACTGTGGGCAGGGAACAGGGAGAAAAAGATTTGCTTTATTACAACTTCTTGTATTCCTAGCTTACTACATGATTCTCTGAGGGGATTTTAACAAATCCCCTTTAAAAAGGAACAGATTGAGCTATAATCAGACAAAGCTTTTCTTAAGCAGTGTTTAGAGTTACATCATAATATTAAAAATAATCTATTATTAGCACTACTGAGGAATTAACTGAAAATACAGTAAATGTCACAAAAAATACAGTAAATGTCACAAACATTTCACCCACAACCTTTTTTATTTTAATTAAAGGAGTATAAAAGTTTTAAGCATTTATGTATATTTCCATGATGAAAATGATAGGGCAATTAAGAAAAATCTGATGTTTGGAAACCTTTTGATCCTAATTTCCAAGAAAAAGCTGTGATAGTATATACATCCTGGAGGAAATTATTGAAGACTGTATTATTTTTAAAAACAAGTCTCGTCTAAATTCATCTGTTATTCCACAAAACAGAACAAAGAAGTTAAGCAAGAGAAAGTCTCAGGAGGCTAGACCCACCATGAAAAGAAATGCATTAAGAAATAAATTAAAAATAAACTGTCCTTACACTAGTGTGAGGGCCAGAAATAAATATAAGGTTATTTAATATTTTCATTTTTCTAGATGATAGGCACAGAGGCCAGATTTCAGGAGATGAAAAGGGAAACTAGTCAAGCATAAATTTGAGAGAAAAAGAATAAGGAAACGACACCTTAAGTTTCTTAATCATGAACATTAATTGCTCTACACCCTTTGAATGGATGTTACATTGTTCTAGAATTTTCAAATTGTTTTATTTTATTCAGAAAACCAATATATTTAATATATGTGATCAATATATACAGTCCAGTGTAGTTATAAGATCTTCAGAAAAGAATCTCAAATTTGAGCAGTAGATGGCAGCAGAATACAGATATGCCATAGCTAGAAAGCAGTTTCAAAAACTGTAGTTTTGCATCTGAACCAACAAAAGATTTAGGGTTTTGGATATGTTCTGTCTTAATAACAATGCACAATATCACAACACTACAATTAACTTAGAATACTCTCTTCGCTGGAAATGGTGAAAAAGCCAAAGCCAATGTAAGGCAGCAAAACCTACTGCTATGCTGGGGCTGAAGGGAAAGGCTGACCCCATGGGTAAAACACAAACAGAAGGCTGCTATGTATTCACAAACACCTGTTTCCTCTTTATCCTGGGCACACAGCTACATCCCATTATGGTGTGGCCATGTGAACAGATGAGTTGTTGATGTGGACAGAAGGGGTGGGCTGTGCCCTTCCCAAGCCTGGCCCCTATAAACTACCCCATGTGATCCTCTCTCCTTTTCCTACTGAGTCCCTAAGGGGCTGATGGAACCTGAAGATGAAAGGAGTTTGTTGCTCCTGAATCCCTGTGTGCAAGGCCTCCCACCAAACACCAGCACTGGAATATAGTTGACCCTTGAACAACATGGGTTTGAACAGTACCAATACACTTTACATGGATCTTTTCAAGAGATATTTTGTCAGTCTTCCATGTCCCTGGGTTTCACATCCATGTATTCAACCAACCATGGATTAAAATCAGTATTTTCTGGGGACGAGGAGGGCTGACTGTATGCACTATTTTATACCATTTTATATAAGGGACTTAAGCATCTGCAGATTTGGGTATCCAGGGTAGGTCTTGGAACCAATCCCTGTGGAGGGATGACTGTAGTTAAGTTTTGGGGGAGTCAAAAATTATATGTGAATTTTATATGTTGATACCCCTAGCCCCCATATGGTTCAAGAGTCAACTATATTATCACATGAGCAAGAAACAAACGTCTATTGTGGGAAGCCACTGAGGTCTTGCGTTTTATCAGAGTAGCTAGTGTCACTTTTAACCAATACAGGGAAGATGCCACCTGACTCAACATGTCACCAAATCCACAAGGGTGATGTGATTTAAAGTTTAATTATGAATACTGAATATTTAGTCAAGATAACAATAAACACAATCATAACAAAATATATGTTTATAAGCATTACAACAGTCTCCCTATCTTTAATTATGTATGAAATGTTTCAAGAAATAATTCGTTCATGAGGTAAGAAACTTACCTAGTGAATAATGGTAAAATTATAATCGAGCACAGTAGGGTTCTATTGCTTATTTCCCCATTTAAAAAAAAAATCTTTTTTATTGATTTTTTAGAGAGAGAGGAAGGGAGAGGGAGAGAAATATCGATTTGAGAGCAAAACATGGATTGGCTGCCTCCTGCACACCCCTATCCAGGGACTGAGCCCACAACCCAGGCATGTGCCCTGACTGGGAATCAAACCGGCAACTTTCTGGTGCATGGGATGACACCCAACCAACTGAGCCACACTGGCCAGGGCACTTTCCCCATTTTTTAAAAGGGAAACTAAGAAATCTATCTTAGGAATCTTGATGTAAGTAAATGATTAAGGACTGAGAAATCTGAAAGAAAGTACTAATTCTAAGACAGCTTACATTTTAATTTTCTTATTGGAAAAAAAAATGGAGCATTTCAGTTCTCTCACCTTAAAAACCCAACTACTGCCTGGCCAGCGTGGCTCAGTGGTTGAGCACTGACCTATGAACTAGGACAGTGATGGCGAATCTATGACACGCGTGTCAGAGGTGACACGCGAACCCACTTTTTTGGTTGATTTTTCTTTGTTAAATGGTATTTAAATATATAAAATAACTATCAAAAATATAAGCCTTTGTTTTACTATGGTTGCAAATATAAAAAAATTTCTATATGTGACACGGCACCAGAGTTAAGTTAGGGTTTTTCAAAATGCTGACATGTGGAGCTCAAAAGGTTCGCCATCACTGAACTAAAAGATCACGATTCGATTCCCAGTCAGGGCACATGCCCAGGTTGCGGGCTCACTTCCCAGGTAGGGGGTGTGTAGGAGGCAGCCGATCAATGATTCTCTCTCATCATTGCTGTTTCTATCTCTCTCTCGCTCTCCCTTTCTCTATAAAACCAATACAAATATATTAAAAAACCACAACTATTACTTCAAATGAAGTAAATATTTGAGACACATTTCGAGAGCTAGTAGGAAGGAGTTTAGGGACCTTCCAAAAGTATCTGCCAAAAATTTAAATAATCTTATAATGATCCCATCTATTCTAAATAAAAATTTAAATGTTTTCCAATAATTTAGTTAAAAGTGCTAAGTATGTGTGCCTACAGTTCAGAATATTCAAACTATCCTTTCCATGAGAAAATTTGTGTTTTCTTTGTAATCATAGAGTACATTGGAATGGAATTCACCTACGAATGAAAATGAACTTCGGAAACAGTACAAGTATATTCTATCTGAGGTTTTAGAGTTACTTAAGGGGAAAATCATGAGGGAGGGAGAGGAAGAGGGACAGGAGGGGAGAGCTCTAGAGGATATGGGGTGCAAAGGCCAGTTGGAATGATGCCTCACCAGACTCAGGCTCGAATTCAGAAAAAGCATGGGAGCTCACTCAGTGAGAGAGTGAAGGCATTCTTTGTAAAAAGTTTTTCAATAAAGATATATTATCTTTAAAACATATAAGAAATGACACAAATGCTAAAGAATTTTCTTAAGCATGCTGAGTTGCATTAATACTAAAACAGTGCTAATGTGAAGTCAGACCCATTGTATATCCATATGTAGGTTTAACTAGTGTACCTCTTCTTGTTACACTAAACATTTCTACATAAATAGCTGTTATTAGTTTCAAATCACTGCAGTCAAATCAACACACACACAATTTCAGAATCTTCTAAATCTGAAGCAAACCTCTAACTTAGCTAGAGGATATCATCATCACGCTCCTTTTTCTCAGATTAAATGTTTTACTCTAGAAATAGCTATACTATGTCAGAGCTGTTCACCCTTCAATATACAAGGAACACACTACCTTTTAGGGAAATAGAGAGCTGCAACTTCAGGTTCTAGAGCCTTTAAGTCATCTAGGTAAATATCGTCAGGTCCTTGGTGTTGGCTTCTCTTGTGGACACCTGTTTTTATAAGAAAAACATATCAGAGAAAGAAGTTAGTTATTCTTCATTTACAACTCTGCAAGAAAGCAAAGGTTTCCAAACAATAAAACCAATCATCATGATTTGAATTGGGCTTTATTTTTTAAACTGTCAAATAACCTTTTCATTTGTGGTTCTCAACCCCCCTTGCCAATGGAAGTGAAATTCAGTGTTTTACAGATGCTCAATAAATATATGCTAATGTACTCATTCTTTTATTTGCTGACATGAGTAATCCTAGCCCCTAAAAATAATTTATATTTGACAATAAAGTTTATCAAGCACGACCAAGCTTGACAAAATCACTGGCATCAAGAAAGAAGCCATTATTCTAAAACCATGAAGGGAAGGTTATTGGTGAATAGGGTATTCACTTAGTGCCAAAGTATTACCTTCTAATTGCAAAAGGACAAAAATCCTTTACAACAAATAAATTTGGCAGACAATGATCACCTTAAACAAGTGATCATATTTAGCATCACTAATGTGAGACATTATGAGCTTCAATATGAAGTACCAAATCATCCCATAAAGTAATCTTCAATTCAAAAATAAAAAATACGTAACCCAAATCGAATTAAGCCCACTATAATAGTCACCAGCCACATGTGGCTACTGAGAACTTGAACTGCCCTAGTCTGGTGTGAGGTATGTAAAATGTGTTCACTTGTTTTTTATTCTTTTGTGAGAAGACTTAAAATTATATATGCAATCCATATTACATTTCTATCTGACAAAGCTAACTTCCAGTTGAAGAAAATATGAGGATGTCATCTTGAAAAAACAACAGATTATCCAGAATGTAAGAAAGTATACCAGACAATTGACTGGGCTCTTCAAAAGGTCAATACCTTCAGTGTAGAGAAGGAAAAAAGTGTAGCAGTGTGTGTTTATGTATGAGAGAGTGTGTGTGTGTGTGTGTGTGTGTGTGTGCGCACGCGCACATGTGCATGTAGGAAGGCTATTCTAAGTTTAAAAATGCAACATATGAACTTTGATGAGATCTTGGTTTGGAAAAGAATGGTAAAAAGCTATTCTTGATATGTTTAGGAAAATATGAATATGGATTCCTCAACATGACAATTGTTTGTGTTAGTTAGATAAGGTTCTTATTCTTAAAAAGTGTATCTTCTTGGGGTTGTGAACACACAATACAATATACAGTTGATACATTATAGAATTGTACACCTGAAACCTATATAATTTCATCAACCAATGTCATTCCAATAAATTCAACTAAAAAAACCATGCAAAGTGTATCTTGGAGTATTTAAAGGTGAAATGACATAATATCTGCATCTTGCTTCCAAATGGTTTAAACCAATAAAAAACTTTGTGAGTGGAGAGACAGAGAAACAGAGATAGAGCAAGAGTGAAAGCGTGTAAATATGCACAAAACTTTTCACAATAAAAGGTGGGGGGAGAGGAAGAAATGGGGTCAAATGAATGGTGGAATCACTTGGTGCCCCTAACTCTAGTCAGCTTCTACACTATGTGCTAGGAATAGGGGAATCAGTATTTCCTAAACTAAAACAAAGCATTCACCCTGACAACTGGATTTTCCCCCCTTAACATTTTTTAGAAGAACACATGGTTATGAGCTTTTGGTTTGAGAAGTGCTGATCTATGAAAGAGCAAGATGCCAAATTAAGCTGGATGATCACACTTGGCCACAAATACCCTTGACAGTCAACGCCTTTTATTTTAAACTAGAGGCCTGGTGCACAAAAATTTGTGCACTCGGGGGGGGGGGGGAGGGAAAGGTGTCCCTCAGCCCGGCCGGTGCCCTCGCACAGTCTGGGACCCCTCGGGGGATGACCACCTGCTGGCTTAGGTCTGCTCCCCGGGGGATTGGGCCTAAGCTGGCAATCAGACATCCCTCTGGCAGCCCGGCAGCCCTCGGGGGATGTTCACTTGCCAGCGGGGAGCAGACCTAACCTGCAGTCGGACATCCTTAGTGCTGCTGAGGAGGCAGGAGAGGCTCCCACCACCACCACTGTACTGGCAGCCATCAGCCTGGCTTGTGGCTGAGTAGAGCTCCCCCATGTGGGAGCGCACTGACCACCAGGGGGCAGCTCCTGCATTGAGCATCTGCCCCCTGGTGGTCAGTGTGTGTCATAGTGACCAGTCATTCCCAGTCTGTCTGCTGTTAGGGTCAGTTTGCATATTACCCTTTTACTATATAAGATGAGACCTGGTGCACGGGTGGGGGCCGGCTGGCTTGCCCTGAAGGGTGTCCTGGATCAGGGTGGGGGTCCCGCTTGGGTGCCTGGCCAACCTGGGTGAGGGGCTGATGGCTGTTTGCAGCTGGTCACACCCCCTTCAGGGTGGGGGTCCCCACTGGGGTGCCTGGCCAGTCTGGGTGAGGGGCTGAGGGCCGTTTTCAGGTTGGCCAGCGACTAAAGCTCCCAGCCTCTCCTTTTTTTCTTTTTTTTTTTTATATTCTGGGATTTATTTACCTTCTATAATTGAAACTTTGTTGCCGTCACTGGAGCTGAGAGCCAGCTCCTACTCGCTCCAGCTCTGAGGCCACGGCCTGCTGAAAGCAGGTATCTGGGGTTTGTTTAGCTTCTATAATTGAAACTTCGTTGCTTTCGAAGCTCAGAGCCAGGCCGCGGCAGGGGGGGAACCTTGGCTTCCTCCATCACTGGAGCAAGCAAGCCTCCTGCTCACTTCAACTGTGTGGCTGTCGGCCACCATCTTGGTTGGGTTAATTTGCATATCGTGCTGATTAGCCAATGGGAGGTGTAGCGAAGGTATGGTCAATTACCATGTTTGTCTATTATTAGATAGGATAAGTTACTTCTGAGTGGCCCTGAAGAGCTATACATGTAGTGAATATTTACTAAATTAATTATCTATCCTTTGGTGTTAGAATTATAAAAAATGGAAGTAGATATTTGGCTATATGTGACAATGTGTATTTTTAGGTAAGGTTTTACTTCCCTAAAAATAGGATCCAAGGCTAGTGTTCAGATAGTGAGTGTGTTTTGGCTCTTACTGTAACAAATATCAATGAATAACTTTTGTTTTTAAACAGAAAGAATGTTATGATTTATTAAACTTGTATTCCAAAAGTGGGATAGAGATATTGAGCCAAGAGTTGGACACTACATTCTGTTTTAGAGGAAAATAGTCAGTGAAAGAGAACATATGCTAATTATTAGTGTACATTTATCTATATATCTCATATTATTGAAAACAAAAAAGTACTTAATTTGGCCTCAACTAACCAGAAGTCTTAGGTGAAAATATTTTTCTCTAGTCTAATTTTTTGTTGTTTAAACATAATTTTTTAGGATTCCTCTTTACTTTATTGACACACCTCATCAATAAAGTGGTTTATTTTACTCATTAACTTATTTAAATATATATTTTTTTCTCAAAGGCCTATTGAGTAGCAACAGCTGTGGGAGAGCAGGGAAGAAGTCAGAGATCCACTCCAGTGGATCCTGTAGTGTGATGGGGAAGCCATATGAAATAAGTGATTCCAGTAGTGTTGTAACAGGTTCTGATCAAGCTGTACAAATATAATGGCAGTCATCACACATTATTTGAAACACTGAAATAATTTACCATCTAAATTTAGAGTACCTGATGCCAAATTAAACAAATAATTACCTTTCTTCTTTGATGGCGAGTCTACTTTAGCTGCTGGTTTTGATTCTGAGGGAGCCTCCACTAACGACGGGTTAGGAAGGTGGTCTGCATCTAACATAGATGAAATCTGAGGCTCAAGGAGAGGCTCAAGAAGTTCTGCAGCGCAAGTTGCATCACTCATCCGCTTACACGGGGCTCTGGGTTTGGGTTTCACTATGGTACAGACTGTTTCTCCCATGGACGCATCCTTCTCAACTTCATTTATAAGGTGGTCCTCACTGGGAATTACCCGAAAATGGGTATTTTCTGATGGAGTAATCGTAGCTGTCCTGGGGTGATGGTCAGATCTCTCTCTTTTGCTGACCTAAAAAAGTTGAAATGTTTAAAAATTAAACTACTTTCAAAAGTGTTATAGCCTATTTCTTGAGCTGGATGCAAATAAATGTGCTTATTTTATTTAAACAACATAATCAGTAAATACGTTATTTTCTATGTGTGAAATATGTCATAATTGAAAAGTGGGAAAACTAATAACCACATTTTGTTCAATATCATATTTATAAAAGTTATATTTATAACTGGTTCTACTATGAAGAGTTCAATATTGGAGAAGACTGAGGAGATAGATGACAATTTTCAGATACTAAGAGGGAGAATATTCATTTTCAGGGAGAAAACTTGAATGCTACAGAAAAATTTAGCCCTGCTTGCACTACCTTCAGCCTCTGTTAAAACAATGTAAGATGTTGAGTTATAATGTTGTACACCTGAAACTTACATGTTACAAACCAATTTTTTAAAAAGTAAAAGTGGGTAGTGAAGTCTCAAATGCAATCACACATATAAGCAAATGTATATCTTTAAAAAACTAGAGGTCTAAATATTTCCTCTTCCAAGAGACAGAGAAAGACAAACACCATATGATCTCACTTATATGTGGAACATAAAAAAAGAGAAGAAACAAAATGAAACAGAAACAAACTCATAGTACAAAAAATAAACTGATGGTTTCCAAAAGGGAGGAAGTCGTGGGGTTGGGCAGAAAAGGGCAAGGGAATTAAAAAGTATAAACTTCGGAAGAAGAAACTAAGATGGCGGCATAGGTAAACACCGGGAAATTGTCGCCTCACACAACAATTGAAAATTACCGCAAAGGACTGAGCAAACATCATCCAGAACAACAGAAAGGCTGGCTGAGTGTAAATTCTACAACTAGAAGGAAAGAAAAGCACGCTGAGAGCCAGAGGCGCTGCGGAGGTGAAGTGCAGAGGTACGGCGGCTCGCGCGCGCGAGGAAAGAGGGTGGCACCTGAGTACGCGGCTGTCTTTTTGAATCACAAGCTCCCGACTGCTCTGAACTCCGGTTCCGGGAAGTCTCTGGGGACCCAGGTCTCATACGGGGAGAAGCTGGTCTGTCCGGCAGCGGGCGAACTTGAAGGCGGCTTTCCCTCAGAGGTGCTTGCAGCAATTAGCGGGTCACTGAGACCCGAGACTCTGGGCGGAGAATCAGCCATAGCTCCTGGATCCGCCCTTTGATTCCCTGAGACCCCGCCCCACCCAGGCTTCGGCAGAGGCTTTTGCATGTGAATGTACCTAACTGCAGCCGAGTCAGGCAGACCCGGAACTTCCAAGAGAAGGCCCAAGGCCCCGCAGCGGCTTGCATTGCTTCACAGCTGAGCCTCTTCGTGGCTCCTGCTGAGTGGCCTCAGGCAGAGGCTGAATTAGCACCTTCTTAGATCCAGGAGCCACTGTACCCAGTGGTCAGAGGGGGACCATCCAGACTGCAACTCCTCAGATCCATAAGGGACACACTCAGGGAGCAGACTCAGTGAGCACCAAAGCCCCACTGAAGCAAGTCTTGCCCCAGAAGGGTGTCTTCAGCACAGAAGTTCTCCCACTTTAGACACAGCTGATTCTCACAGCCAATTGGCCTGGAGGTCAATTCCTCCCAGTGATTCTACAACAACCAAGGCACCAAGAGTGCACCAAGAGTGTCCACCCCAGGTAACTGGGGAGGCTGAGCTATTGGGCCCTACAGGACACCTGGCGCGCAGGGCCACTCTATCAACACAGGGAAGCTGCCAAAATGCGGAGACAAAGAAACAGGTCACAAATGGCAGAAATGGAGGAAAGCAAACGATTGGATATAGAGTTCAAGGCCACGTTTATAAGGTTTTTCAAGAATTTTATGGAAACCGCCGACAAATTTAATGAATCCCTCAATAAGTATAGTGAGACCATGGAGGACATGAAAAAGGACCAACTAGAAATTAAGCATACACTGACTGAAATAAAGAATAATTTACAGAGATCCAGCAGCAGACAAGAGGATCCCAAGAATCAAGTCAAAGATTTGAAATACAAAGAAACAAAAAATACCCAACCGAAAAAGAAAAAAGAAAAGAGATTCCAAAAATATGAAGATAGTGTCAGGAACCTCTGGGACAACTTCAAGCGTACCAACATCAGAATTATAGGGGTACCAGAAGGAGAGAGAGGGCAAGATATTGAAAACCTTTTTGAAGAAATAATGACAGAAACTTCCCCTACCTGGTGAAAGAAATGGACTTACAAGTCCAGGAAGCGCAGAGAACCCCAAACAAAAGGAATCCAAAGAGGACCACACCAAGACACATCATAATTAAAATGCCAAGAGCAAAAGATAAAGAGAGAATCTTAAAAGCAGCAAGAGAAAGACAGTCAGTTACCTACAAGGGAGTACCCATACGACTGTCAGCTGATTTCTCAACAGAAACCATGCAGGCCAGAAGAGAGTGGCAAGAAATATTCAAAGTGATGAATAGCAAGAACCTGCAACCAAGATTACTTTATCCAGCAAAGCTATCATTCAGAATAGAAGGTCAGATAAAGAGCTTCACGGATAAGAAAAAGCTAAAGGAGTTCATCACCACCAAACCAGCATTATAGGAAATGCTGAAAGGTATTCTTTAAGAAGAGGAAGAAGAAAAAGGAACTCTTACCATTTGCCACAGCATGGATGGATCTGGAGAGCGGATAAATACCACATGATCTCACTCATTTGTGGAATATAATGAACAACATAAGCTGATGAACAAGGACTGATCCAGAGACGGAGAGGCATTGATTGGACTGTCGGGACTTGGAGGGAAGGTAGGGGAGGGTGGGGGTAAGGGGGAAAGATCAACCAAAGGACTTATATGCAAGCATATAGGCCTAATCAATGGACATGGACAACGGGGGGGTGAGGGCATGAGCGGGGGGGTGGGGGGGTAGAGGGTAACGTGGGGACAAGGACACATATGTAATATCTCAATCAATAAAAAATATATTAAAAAAAAAATAAAAAGTATAAACTTCCAGTTATAAAAAAGTCACAGGAGTGTAATGTATAGCATAGGGAATAAGAGTCAGTAATGTCATAATAACTAGGTATGGTGACAGATGGTTATTAGAGTTATTATGGTGGTCATTTTGTAAGGTATATAAATGCTGAAACACTATGTTGTACACCTGCAACCAATATAATATTATTTGCCAACTCTAAAGTAAATTTTTAAAAATCAGAAAGAAAACCTTAAAGTTGGGGTAATTCACATACATAAAATAAAAGCAGTCTCTCTCAAAAAATGAATAAATAAAAAATGTATCTTTCCAATTCTTTTTTCATTATGAGTTGGCAAAAAAGCTTTCACAATAATTTTCCTATTTAAAATTTCAGTGTGAAAATTCCATTAGGTACATTTTAAATTTTCCTTACTATAATGTTAATTAACAATCAACATTATTTACTAAATAGAAGCACAAAAAATAAAGCTAGATTTCCTTTGTTGTGCACAGTGCAAACATGAAAAATGTTAACTTTGAATTTACTTATGTGACCCCATGAGGGCACTACCATCATTTATGTTCATATGACTCAGTCAGCTATCACCCCTTCACTCATGGACAACAAACACACTACTCTGTAAGTAAGTAAACCCTAGTACCTTGGTGGACTCTGGGAACCCGCCCCACGTCCATTCCATGTGGGACTCAGATCTGAGTAGGCTCTCGGCGGGTTTCACCTCCAGCTCTGAATCACTCTTCGGACATGCTGCCGGGGAATACGGGCTGCAAACACATTACAAAGAAATGTAATGAATTTAAAGTCAGGAACTTCAGTGTTGCTGAGTTTGACAGATTAAAAGAAATGTAAGTTTGAATATATTAACTGTATCCTGCTGGTATAGAGAATCTATTTTAAAAATGTCAATTATTTCTTCCTCTTGAGTTTTTTATTAATAATAAAAACAGTGCACACTAGTATTTATGGAGGACTTGCTGTAAACATTTTCTATGCATCATCCCATTTGATTCTCACAAGAAATCTATAAGAAAGGTAATTTTACAGGAGAGAATGTGCATGGAAAGATGGACAGTAAATTTAATCAAGTTTAAGAACAAAATAATTATTAAGAGAAAAGGTCCATATTCATGTTAAAAGTACACATTCAGTGCCTCTACTGTCTGAGAGAAATAGGAAACATCATTACTGTCCAATAACAGAAAAGGCAATTTAATATATTTTTCCTTTAAGAAACAGAAATTTTGAAAATACTTACATGTCCAAAGGGGACCAATCTCCATCGGATAAGGGGTAGTGATCTCCAGAATGGAAGAGCAGAGGCTCCTTATATTCTTCTTCCTTTAAGGAAGCATTTGAAGATCCTCTGTGAAAGGGGGGCGGGGGAAAAAAGGCAGGAACAAAGATACTATGTCAGCTTAAAAATATCCCCCAAATCTATGATACATCATCTAAAGTTTAAATTATGAAAAAGGCCTCTTAAAAGGAAAATATGAAGGAGAAGGGGGATTCACCGATGCCACCCAACATATCCTACTACAACCACTATTTAAATATGGGATAAACAGAGGAGGAAAGAAAAGATGATGTGATTAAAAATTCATTTTTACCTCCCTTAGTAATAACTGAGGGGGGTAGCGGGGAAGGGGTAAGGACACATATGTAATACCTTAATAAAGAAAGAAAAAAAAATGAGTATTTTTAAAAGTCAATATACAGACATTAAAACCATAGGCGGTTGAACTAATACATTAATGTTTAATTTAATTTACCCTTTGCGTTTCTTGAAGTTGCAGAGTTAATATAACTAACCTGCCACATAACCTTAAAATATCCCTCAGAAGCATGTGGGCCCGAATTTTTCATCTTTAGTTGGAAATTTATCACTTGTCCTATTTCACAGAGTCAATGTGAGATTTATGTGTTGAACATGTCATGTTGAAAGCTCTAAAAAGTATAAATAAAAGTACAAAAAAAAAAACCACCAAAAAAAAAAAAAAAACTTTGAAAAGTGTAAAGCAGTTTTAGAGCATCTTATCTAGAAAATTCAATGTTCTACCAAAACTTAAAGGTAAAATGAGAATATCTACCACTTAATTTGCTAGACTAAAAATAGGTGTATAAACCAGTTTTATTAGTTTTTAATATTGCGTTTCTTCCTTTATATCTTAATTTAACATGCTCTCCTTAACTGCTAACTTTGACATGTAACAGTTTTTCCACATAGCAGCTCTTTCTAATTCAAGGTTTTCCTACTCTAATCTTCTTTTGCTCAGAAGTATTCAACTCTGGCATACAACCTCATTCAAAGGGAGAAAAACATATACTTGAAAAAGGCCAGCCCTAGCTGGTTTGGCTCAGTGGATAGAGCATTGGCCTGCGGGCTGAGGGGTCCCAGATTTGATTCCAGTCAAGGGCACATGCCTGGGTTGCAGGCTTGATCCCCAGTAGGGGACGTGCAGGAGGCAGCCAATCATTGATTCTCTCTCACCACTGATGTTTCTATCTCTCTCTCCCTCTCCCTTCCTCCCTGAAATCTATAAAAATGTTTAAAAAAAAGAAAAGAAAAAGACCAACATCTAGGTAAATACCTTGTTTCTTAAGAAAAAATAAAATGCTCAAAGAGAAAAATCAGATGTTTATGTCCTTATTTGCCAAATTTAAAAGGATAGCACATCTTGACCCATCACTATTTATCTAGGTGAAAATGGTTTGAAAAGAACAATGTAAAAGCCACAGACATTTTTTTAAATAAAAAATATTTTTGGAACATATTTCACTGCAGGATAAAAGATAATTCAAGATGAGTTCAGCAAAGCAAACTGGATTTAGTAAAATATTGAAAGACAGATCAGGCATCATTAAGAATTTATAACCCTAGGAAGACATGAAATTATTTTCTCTGGGCATATCCTGACAAAAATAGAGCCCATTAGTTTAGACCCATTAGAGTGATGAAAAAGGTTGCTAATGCTGAGGTTCCTTTCAGTCCTGCAATTCTTTAACTAATTTAGGACTTCTAAAAATCTGCTAAAGCGCTTTTAAAATGGCACGCTTGCCTCAGAACAGGCAACCAGGTGGTCAAACCATGACATAGTAACTTAAACTAAGTACATGGCATAAGGATATAGGGAGTATACATATTAGAAATGTGAAGAAAATAGTATAAAGACTAACTTTATCTATGATGAAACAAAGGACAATTATAAGCATTAATGCCTAACATCAGATGATTTGTAGTAGGGTAAATAGTTTAATGTTGAATCAGGGTTGGTAGGTTGAGAGCTTCAGTTGTTAAAGTTCATAATAAGTGTGTACAGAGCACTTCAGCCTTCACAGATGCACCTCAACATCATGTCTTCAAATTCAACATCATTTTATAAACCTTTCCCACTCAAAAGCCAACAGAGGTTACAAGATGTATACAACTGTCAAAATCCACTGAATTCTTAAGATCTATGTATATTATTAACCTAGAGGCCTGATGCACAAAAGGCCCTTGCAGCCCCAGCTTCATCCAGAAGGTCGTTCAGCTGTCCAGTCTAATTAGCATAATACGCTTTTATTACTATAGATATAAATTATACCTCAATTTTTGAAAGTTGAGAGAAAATCCATAGAAAGTTAAAATAAAATCTAAATTACTTATGCAGGATAAATTAGAGGAACTAAGCGAGTTTTAAGTCTATTTAACTGGTAGTATGTAAGAGATAAATGGGGTTGCTAACTACCATGACCAAAGAACACTAACTCTGTTAACAATATGTTTATCCTCAACCTTTGCACAGTGTTGGTCAATAAATTTCAGTGACTAATGATCTAAGTTTCCATTTGGATATTCTACATTTCCCATACTAGTAAAAGATACCTTATAATGGAACTGAAAAGACCCTGCAATATTTCTTTGTCTGAGTCAGAAATGAAGAGGAGAAAGGGCAAGGAGCAAGACATAAGATTCATGTCACCACAGAAGATGATAGAGGGTACTCTAGAAGCCAGTTACTGATCAGGAGATGAAGTATGAAGCCTCAAGGCAATAGATGCTGTCTGGGAAAAGTCTTAGGTTGCAATGAACATAGGGGTGCATATATCTTTACAAATATGTGTTTTCATATTTGGGGGGTAAGTACCCAGAAGAGGAATTGCTGGATGATATGTTAGTTCTACACCTAGTTTTTTGAGGAACTTCCAAACTGTTTTCCATAGCGGCTTCACTTATTTACATTCCCACAGTGTACGAGAGTTCCCTTTCCTCCACATCCTCTCCAAAACTCATTTCTTATCTTCTTGATAACAGTCATTCTAACAGGTATAAGGTGGTGTCCTCATTGTGGTTTTGATTTTCTATTTCCCTAATAACTAGTGATGTTGAACATCTTTTCATTTATCTGTATGTTCACTACAGCATTATACATAATTTTTTTTGAATTGATTCTAGAGAGGAAAGGAGAGGGAGAGAGAGATAGAAACATCAATGATAAGAGATAATCACTGACTGGCTGCTTTCTGCATGTCCCATATTGGGGATGTAGCCTGCAACCCGCACATGTGCCCCAACTGGGAATTGAACCGTGACCTTCTGGTTCATAGGTAGACGCTTAACCCTTGAGCCATCGTGGCCATGTGATTGCAGCACTATTATAACAGCAAGACATGCAAACAAAGTGTTCATATATATGGTATGTGCGTGTGTGTACACACACAGAATACTATTCAGCCATAAAAAGATAAAATATTGTCATTTGCAACAACATGGATGAGCTTGAGAATATTATGCCAAGTGAATTAAGTCGGATGAAAAGAACAAAAACTATAATTTCACTCATATATGGAATATAAAACAAAAAGTAATACATGTACTAACAAAACTAACAAAACCAAACTCATAGACACAGACAACAAAATGGTGATTTCCAGAGGGAAAGAGGGCTTGGGAAGGGTGATGTGAGCAAAGGGGGTCAAGAATATGGTAATAAAGGGAAACTAAACTTCGGGTGGTGAGCATGCAATAAAATACACATTCATTGAATTACAATTTTGTATACCAGAAAATTATATAATGTTATTAACTAAAACCCCAATAAATTTAAAAAATCTTAGGCTCTCTGCACTCAACTCCCAGATATAATTCCAAGTAAGTCTCATTTTGGTGGATTAAAAAGTGTTTCCTTTTTGATGGTGTGTTCTTAAGCCTCCATTATTGTTATTGCTGGGTATATTATGTATTTCCATCAGTGGCATGTTTTATATAATTGCACTCAAGATTGTGCTATAGCACTATCCAATCTGAAAAGTCTTTTCCCTCCAATAAGCTATTTACCAGGTGTACCAGTTAATAATGCGGATTTTTTCAATAGATAGAGTTACACATGCTAGTATGTTGATATATATGCGATTTGATATGTATGCTATTTTGTTGTATTGACAGCAAGCTTCAAAACTTCGTATGTCAAATTTGCTGAACATGCTAACATTATAGATATTTTTACACTTAAAAATGTCAAATTTCATGTCAAAAAAAGAGCATTTGCAGAACTTTTAATTCATTACTTTATTTTGAGGAAAAGTGCTGCTGAAAGTTACTGTATACTTCAGGAAGCTTATGGTGAACATGCTCCATCTCAAGATACTTGTGAACGCTGGTTTAAATGCTTTAAAAGTGATGATTTCTGTGTGAAAGACAACGTCCAGGTCAACCGAAAAAGTTTGAAGACCAACAATTACAAGCATTATTGGATGAAGATGCATGTCAAACTCAAAAACAACTTGCAGAAAGATTAAACGTTGTTCAGCAAACAATTTCCGATCGTTTACAAGCAAAGGGAAAGATTTTAAAGGAAGGAAAATGGGTGCCACATCAACTGAACGAAAGAGAAATTGAAAACTGAAAAGTCATCAGTAAAATGTTGACACGAAAGAAAAGTCTTTTTTGCATCGAATTGTGACTGGCAATGAAAAGTGGATTTATTTTGAGAATCCCAAATGCACAAAATCATGGGTTGATACAGGTCAACCATCAACATCAACTGCAAGGCCAAATAACTTTGGAAAGAAGACCACGCTCTGCATTTGGTGGGATCAGGAAGGTGTGGTGTATTAAGAGCTTCTAAAACCAGGTGAAACCGTTAATACTGATCGCTACCGACAACAAATAATCAATTCAAACTACGCTTTGATCATAAAACGACCAGAATGGGCCAGAAGACAGGGCAAAGTAATTTTGCTTCATGATGATGCACCATCGGACACTTAAAAACCAGTTAAAGACACGTTAAAAGATCTTGCCTGGGAAGTATTAACCCACCCACTGTATTCACCAGACCTTGCTCCTTCAGAATACCACTTGTTCCAATCGATGGCACATGCACTTTCTGAGCAGCACTTCAAAACATACGAAGAAGTGGAAAATTGGGTCTCTGAATGGTTTGCCTCAAAACAAGAAAAGTTCTATTGGGATGGTATCTACAAATTACCTGAAAGATGGGGGAAATGTGTAGCTAGCAATGGACATTACTTTGAATAAAGCACTTTTGATGTTTCTCTTGAAATTATCCTGTTTTGATTACAAAATCCGCATTATTAACCGGTACATCTGGTATGTCCGCACAACTTCTGGAAGGACAAACATGGCTTTTGAACTATATTTAAGACGAAAGTCCAATTTTAGGAAGGGACAGAGGTTCATTAGGTACAGCTTACATAAAGCTCTGTGTAGTTTAAAACTCCAATTTCCACCAATTGAGTTTCTTCTACCTTGTGATATAGTAACCTGCTTTAAAGGTTACTATAAAAGCCGTCTTTCATTTGCCTTCTTCAGGAGCCTTAATTAACCTTAATTCTGTTATGAATGAAAAGATTTTAAATAGAATGTTATCTATCAAAATAAAATCATTTACTTTAGGTATCTTCTCTAGAAACAGAATTTCTTTCCTAAGAGGTAGGAGTTAAGGAGGGTAAGATATTTAAAAGTTGCAAATTCCACCCAGCTAGTGTGGCTCCATGCTTGAGCGTCAGACAATGAACCAGGAGATCATGGTTAGACTCCTGTCAGGGCACAAGCCTGGGTTGTGGACTTGATCCTCAGTGTGGGCAAGCAGGAGGCAGCCGATCAATGATTCTCTCTCATCACTGATGTTTCTATATCTCTCTCCTTTCTTCTCTAAATTCAACAAAAATATTTTTTAAAAAGTTCCAAATTCCAATACCATATAGCTCTAGGTCTCACTACTGCAAAGACGGTAGACTTTCTATTCTTTTTTCTTTCAGATTCTTTAACGTGTCACTTAATGTGATGTTAATACTTTTGACCCTAAATATCTTCATCCAAATTATTTTAGAATCTAAATAATGAGCAGAAAGGACCTTGCAAACCATGTAGCTTAATTCCCTTATTTCATAGATTAAGAAAATGAAGGCCTGGAGTGATCAGGAAGTAGCTATTCCACAATCAGAAGTTTAACTTGTTCAGTTTTCTACCTTTTATCAGCTTAGCGCTTATTTCAGTATATGACCTGAACTTTCACAACTGTTACATCTTGTCTTTTCAAACTCCTAATATCTGTTGGCTGCATAATTAAGCAGATCCTGTTTTAAGGAAATTTCAGGAAAGTGTTCCTCCAAGTGGTAGCATCTATGATTCACTGGTACCTACAGAAAAGGAAAACCACTAAACTTATGAAAATTGTTACAAGGCCCTAGTTTACATGCATTCTGATATGCCAAGCAAGCAAGATTGTTGTTTAAATAGAGAAGCTGGCAACCATGTCACTGTAGACCCAATCAGTACACCAACAGATTTGGTTGATGCAGCCTTTCACACAATCTGGAAAAGAAAGGCATTCACCAATATTTTTGTCAAGTGTCCACCTGCAGCACTCGTTTACAAAATTCCTCTAGAACAATAATTCTTGTGCATCTAGTAGATGACTTCGCATATGTTTCAGAAATGTTTTAACTTCCCAGGTTGGTACTATGCTGTTTTCCTGAAACTAATGTAATATTGAATGCCAACTGTAATTGAAAAATAGAAAAAAAATAAAAATAAAGCTGCAGGTTGTTCAGGAGTTCTAAACTTAGTTCTATGTTATACAAAGGACTTTGTTGAACACTCGTCAACAAAACTTTGAAGACAAAACTTTTACTTCAGGATGCTTCCTGGTGGGCCTTAGAATTTTAGTTGGCAAAAACATTTCCAGGAATTAAGGCACTTAAGGGATTATTAATGCTAATCCAAATAAAATTTAGACGCATGTGTATTTTGAGTTTTTTGTCAAAAGAATACATTTCCTGCCCACTACACATTTTAATATAAATACATCAAAACTTTTAAAGGAACTGTTTACACTGTTGTTAATAGAACCAAAATCAAATAATAAAAGATCTCAAAGGGCCTCCTAGTATATTCTCTTAGGAAAGGAAAAGACAAATAACCCTTAAGAGATTGGAAGCAGGAAGAAAATAATAAGAGTCTCTTTTTAAGAAACTATGGTACTCTGTATTAGCTTAAAGTTCTTTGGGGCTTTAATTAAGCTCTTCCCAGCTAGTGTTTTGACACTGACCAAAAAAAAAAAAAAAAAAAAAAAAAATCAGCTGAATTATTTTAAATTTTTTTTAGGTACAGTTTACACTGGTCTGTAGAGTCTAAAGTACTTTTTGCTTTCTTCTGTTGTTTAGTTGTAACAGAGGAATTCTGTACTCTAGGAGAACTGAAGTAAAAATCTACAGTGTGGGAAGACTGAGAAAGAATGTCTCAAATATGGTAGTTGAGTAATAAAAGATGGGCAGAAAAGGAGTTCATATATTAAAAATTACTATCACATATAGAATTTTTTTCCAGAATTTACAACCCAGATTTTAAAGTTTTGGAAAATAAGTTAACAGTTTTGCCAAAAAGGGATTATTATACTATGTTATTCATTAACAGAGTATAACTATCCTATCTAATAATAGACAAAGATTGCAACTGACCATACCTTCGCTAAGCCTCGCATTGGCTAATCAACAAGATATGCAAATTAACCGCCAACAAAGATGGTGGTTAATTTGCATACAGAGGCGCGAAGGCGGAGCGAAGACTGAAGGCGGAGCAGCGAGGGCTGTGAAGGCGACTCTGGCCAGAGTGGCACCAGTTTTCCTCTGGCACCCAGGACCCAGGCCTATTGCACAAATCTTTCGTGCAACAGGCCTCTAGTAATACAATAATAGCACTTTTCCCCTGACTTCACCATTTAAAACAAAAACTTGGTCAATCAAGCATATACTAGGTCACAACAGAGTTTACAATTGGTATATATTTGGTTTCTATGACTAGAGACAGAAATTATTTTTCATGAAGAGAACTTTAAAGCACTATTTTCCCAGGAAGTAGGGCATAATCTCTTTTCAGCAGCTGAGATGAAAGGGTACAAGTGGACCAGCACACATGTCACAATGCCATCCTCCCCCACCCCAATTCTCATAAAAGATTTGAAAATTTAGGGATGCTTGTGGGCAGCAGCTTCTTGTTCAATGGTTACCAATGAAGATAAGCACCCCACTGACACACCTATGATCCTTCCTGTGCCAGTGCAACCACTGAGTATAAAAGGTGAGAGATAATCTAAAAATACAATCTTAAATGAAAAAATACATGTCCTACCCCAAATTGCTACCTTTCAACCTCAGACATTGCTGACTTGAAAACTGGCATCTAATGAACTGGTGAATAAATAGTCATCAAGATTTCTCACTTAAAACAAAACAAAACCCTTCTTTCCTCTTTTAACTTACTAGGATGTTTTTTTAAAAATTTTTAATCATTTTTTTATTTTTCAATTACAGTTGATATACAATATTATATTAGTTTCAGATGTACACCCCAGCGATTAGATATTATATATAACTTAGTGATCATCCCGGTAAGTCTGTACCCATCCTACACCATGATAGTTAGTAGGATGTTATTGACTATATGCCCTATGATGTACTTTACATCCCCATGACTATCTGTAAAAACCAATTTGTATTTTTTAATCCCTTTACTTTTTTCACCTCCAAACCTCCTCCTATCTGGCAACCAACAAAATGTTCTCTGTATCTATGATTCTGCTTCTGTTTTGCTTTGTTTCCTTTTTTTAGATTCATTTGTTAACATATATGTGTTTATTGACATTTTATTGTTCATATTTTTAAATCTTTTTTTCCCTTCTTTTTAATAATTCTCAGTAATAGGTGAGATACTAAGCACAAGACCACTGGGTTAGGAAATAAATAGTCCTGATGTTTGTATCTGCGTACCCAGAGGTGAGTCACTAGTTCAGATCTTCTTTGAGACTTACAATTTATTTGGCTTTTGGAAACTTACTGGATGAAAAGACACACATTGCCAGTCTGTTTTAAATGATATTTGAGCACTACCGCAGGATGTCTGATGGCAAATTTTGTCGAGTTATGGAAAGAAAAAAGAAAATGCCTTTCCTACTTGATTCCACAACAAACTGTCAAGGGGAAAAACAAGTCCAAACCTCATACTGTAGACCCATAAAAAAAACAGCTTCTCACTTTAGCTGTGTTCTGTTTGGAGCATGCATGAACATCTGGCATCTGCACAAAGAGCCCTCCCAGACTGAGAGTCCTACCTTGCTGACTGGGCCCCCTTGTCATCATCAGAGCTCAGATCCATATCCATAGTGTCTTCTGCAGCAGGGGAAACTGTCTGGTCTTCCTTTTTACTGTCCTGTTTGCATTTCTTTCTCCTTCTTTTTTTCTTTTTCACAGAACTTGGAGTAAAAACCGTCTCTGTTTCCAAGATGTGCGAGATGTTGGAACTCTGAGATGGTCTTTCATTTCCAACCGATTTTACCAAAAGGGAGTCAATATCTTTAAAGAACTGATCTTCGGTAGGAATTGGTGAAGTGGCAAGGTAAGCAGGAAGTTTTTCCTTAAAGAGAACATAAAGAAAGAAAAGTTGTCCACGGCAAATTGGACAACCAAAATAATAATAAATTCTTTGCATATCTAAATTTTCATAGTGGCAGAAACAATAGTCCCTGAAGGCAAGAAAGTCACACTGAACTGGGGCACTGCCCACTCTAAATAGGTCTTTACTTTATTGCCCACAGCTTTATTAGCTCACTTTGGCCCACATAACTCAATATGTTTGGAGGAACCATTATGCCAAGACAGCATGGAACATGAGAGCTATAATTAAAGCAAAGCCAATTAAATTATCTGTAAAAAGAAATTCAAAGCAGCAGCAGATGAATTCCAAGGAAGTGTTACAAAGCATCTGTAAAGAACTTACAAAGAACAGTAAAAACGGACAAAGCAGAAGGCAAGGACAAAAATACCCCATCAGACAACGGACAATAGGACAATGGTTCCCAACTCTTTTTTGGCCATGCCCCACCTAAGCATCTATAAAATCCTGATGCCCATCCTGTCACATATAATTCTTATTATTCAAAAAGTGAACTCCTGTTCACGTGGAGGAAGCCTAAAAGGCCATTAACTTGGTCTAAACAAGCTTCCAAAGAATATGGCATCCATGAAAGAGAAAAATAAAAGAAGGAAAGGACAGTTAAAGTACTGAGGAAGAAATCACTAAGAAATTGTTTAAAAAAATAGTAACATGAAGGGACATGAAAAAATACCAAATAAAGTTTCAAAACATAATAGAGAACTGACATGCATAAATATGTCAAAATATACATTTATATACTGTATATGAGGCCCCTAGAACCATAAGAAATGCAAAAAATTCACTGTTAATAACTCACTCTCAAATTCACCTCCTTAAAAGTTAAATTGCCCCCTCTTTAGGGCGTGTGCCCCACGTTGGGAACCACTGGGTTAAGTGAAGTGAGAAACTATGGTAAAATTTATACTTAATGCTTGTGTTTGCCAAATTAATTGAAGATGGAGGAAGATGATTATAACAGAAACAATACTCTGTAACAAATAAAATTAGTGGATTTTTAAATCGTAAAACATTTAAGATACCCTTTTAGGAATTAAAAAGAAGAAAATAAACCCCAACGATTAGAAATAAACTCTTATTTTATTATTAAATAAATGATCAAGTCTGGTGTTCAGGAAATTAACTTCATAATCATTTGCTTCATTCTTTCATGTCATGGAGGAAATGGAAGGTATATAACAGAGATCCAAATTAGCCTCATGTAATTCAGAACACTCTTTATATAATATACTGAAAATAAGTGGGTTTCCATAATTGTTTTAAATCAAGCATTTGAATTTAGGTTTGGTAAATATATTACACCAAGGCCAAAGTTTTGTTTTCCCAAGCAAAATTTGTATTCACCAACAACACATACTTAGAGAGAAACTGCAATGATAAGATATTATCAAAGTGACAGGCTGTGGTCTCTGACATCCAGAGGTCTTTTAATTTAATGGTTTTTGTTATAAAGTTTACTTGTACATTTTTTTTTACATGATAATCTCTTTATATGTATACTAGAGGCCTGGTACACGAAATTCATGCACGGGATGGGGGGGGGGTCCCTCAGCCCGGCCTGCACCCTCTCCATCCTTCTTGCAATCTGGGACCACTGGCTCCTAACCGCTCACCTGCCTGATTGCCCCTAACCACCTCTGCCTGCCGGCCTGATGCCCCTGACTGCTCCCTTGCCGGCCTGATCGCCTCTAACCACCTCTGCCTGCTGACCTGATCGCTTCTAATCACCTCTGCCTACCGGCCTGATTGTCCCCTAACTGCTCCCCTACCAGCCTGATCACCCCCTAACTGCTTTCCCCTGCCGGCCTGATCGCCTATTACCACCTCTGCCTCGGCACCCCCCCAACATGGCTTTGTCCGGAGGGACATCCAGAAGATGTCCAGTCTAATTAGCATATTACCCTTTTATTAGTATAGATATTTTAAATTGATTTCAGAGAGAGGAGGGGAGAGGGAGAGAGAGAGAGAGAAACATCGATGAGAAAGAAACATTTATCAGTTGCCTCCAGCACGCACCCTGGGGACCAGACCTGCATCCTAGTTATGTGCCCTGACCTGGAATTGAAACTGTGACCTTTCGGTGCATGGGACAATGCTCAACCAACTAAGCCTCATGGGCCATAGTGATCTGAGATTTTATTCTTTACTAAAGGCCTGGTGCATGGATTCGTGCACCGGTGGGGTCCCTCAGCCTGGCCTGTGGGGGTTGGGCCGAAACCGGCTCTCCAACATCCCCCAAGGGGTCCTGGATTGTGAGAGGGCAATTCTTGAGTGACACACCCCGGAATTGGGCTCCCTCCTCTCTGGTTCCGGGTATGTCACCTGAGAACCACAGCTGCCAAGTCATTGCAGCTCGGCAGCTCCTGGTGGTCAGTGCGTGTCATAGCTACCAGTTGCAGCGTCTGCCCCCTGGTGGTCATTGCACATCATAGCTACCAGTTGGACAGTCGAATGGTCACTTAGGCTGATAGATAGGTAGAGATATAGATAATGAAAGATTTAACAATGCGTTCTAAGAATTTTTTAAAAGATCCTCATTAAATCTATTAAGGATAGTTTACTACCAACTCAAATCAATGGATACAAAGGAGAGGAGGAAAGGGAGAGAGGAGAAGAGGGGTAGAGAAAGAGAGGGGAAAAGAGGGAGAGGAAGGAAAGGGGGAGAGAGGGGGAGGCAGGGAGGGAGAAGGGGAGGGAGAAAGAGAGGCAGGGAGGGAAGGGGAGGGAGAAGGATGGGGAGAGAGGGAGAAGGAGAAGGATGGGGAAGGGGGTTGGGGAAGAGGTTGGGGTAGGAGGGGGAGGGAATGTGTGTTGGTAAGGACAAGTTGTGCTCTCTTGCTTAAAGAAGCCAAGTATGCAGTAATTGCTTATAAAGGGTATAGGCTGATTTAATTCCCTTGAGACCATAATGAACTTCACCATGACTATTCAAGGTTTGAGATACAATGTCCCAAATCAAAATGGTAAACTTGCTTTCCAAGTTTAAAGGTCACATGTGTACCAACACACACATAATCTGAAGAAATACACCTTGATTACTTAGGCAGAACTCAAATGTATTCAAGTCAAGGTATAAACTATAACAGACACTAAATAAGAAAGCTCATTAAAGTTAGAGAAAAAGATGTGCCTTTCCTTATTAAAACAAAGCAAGTATGAAGGCCTTCTGCATTCTCTCTGACCCCTGAAATCTGGCATGGAGAAAAGATCCTTCTCCACTACTCCAGCTCCTTTCTGACGTACAACTAACCATGAAAAATGAATATTTCTGTTTGGGGCTATGCACCAGAGGCCTGAATACAATGAATAAAGTGGATATGACCCACTAGAACTCACATATTCCTCTTCAGTCTCCTCCACAAAGAAAGCTTCTCCATTGTCACCCAATTTCATATGAAGATCCACTGCATCACCATTGATTTCTATATCAATCTAAAAGGAGAAACAAAGTGCAATTTAGCATTAAGAGTCTTTCATTCAGGCTAAACTAAGGCTAAATTCTGGGTTCTCAAGTCAAACTTAGTAATGAAATTCCTAGAGACAGCCCCAGAGAAACAATGCTACCTGCCACATATCCCACCCCTAAAAAACCCCAAACAAACCTTGGGGGATAGTGTCGGAGGGGATGGTAATCAGGGATTGAAAGAAAATGTTTTATCATCTATTTTTATAACATATAAACATTTTAAATTATTTAATTCCCAAATATCATAGAATAGGGGGAACATCATCGTAAACAAACATCTGAGCACTGTCAGAGTTATAGCACAGGTATGTCTCCCTTTGCGCAGTTCAGATAAACACAAATTTCAGTTACCAATGTATGTTAACTGTGAGTAACTATAGAAAGTACAAATTTCACTGCCAGCTCTTCTGTCCACAAATCACTACATAAATAATAGATGCCCATCATGATCAATAACCTATCTTGTCACTTTTTCAAAGTCTGTTGGTGACTGGTCCTAGCACTGTTACTCGGTTCAGACAATAAAGCAGAGTTGTGTTGCCTCCTTGTCTCCAGTGATAAACTCATGTAACATTTTATAAAAACGAATAATTGAAAAAGGAAACTGACCAAGATCAAAGTGCAGTACAGAAAAAAAGAGTAATAGTATTAGAAGTAAAACTCAAATGAAATGTAAACAGTTATAGAGTGGCTCAGGTGATTGAGCGTTGCCCCGTACATCAAATGACTGCCAGTTCTATTCTTGATCAGGGCACATACCAGGGTTGCAGGTTTGATCCCCCAGTCAGGGGACATATGGAAGGCAATCTATTGCTGTTTCTCTCTCACATCGATGCTTCTTTCTCTCTTTCCTCTGTCTCCCTACCCTTACCTTCCTCTTTCTAAATATGTCTTTGGATGAAGATTTTTTTTAAAATGAAGAAGAAATAGCTGATGGTGGGAACAGTGGCCCTGCTGCCATTCAAGAGACTCAAATGTGCAGCCCAAGGAACTTGGTGAAGGTGAGCTTATCCACAAATAGAAGGAAAGTGGTTGTGACGAAAACGATGAAGATGGTCCTGAGGAAAGTGACATAGGCAAAAAATATTCAGGTTAAAGGAGCTCTCAAAGATACTTTATGACATTGAAAGTTCAAAGGCTGAAAAGTTAGAAGTTAACTTAAAATTACAGAGTATTAATTAGGAATAAACTTAAACAAGGAGATAAAGGACTTGTACTCAGAAAACTACAGGACGTTAAAAAAAGAGATAGATGAGGATATAAACAAGTGGCAGAATATACCATGTTCATGGATTGGTAGAATTAACATTATTAAAATGTCCATACTACCAAAAGCAAGCTATAGATTCAATGCAATCCCATTAAAATACCAATGGCACATTTCAAAGATTAAGAAACAAATATTCCAAAAATTTATATGGAACCAAAAAGACCCTGAATAGCCACAGCAATCTTCAGAAAGAACAACAAAGTTGGAGGGATCACAATACTAGATTATCAAGTTATACTATGAATCCACTGTAATTGCAACAGCCTGGTACTGGCACAAGAACAGGCATATAGATCAGTGGAACAGAACAGAGAACCCAGAAATCAACCCAAACCATTATGCTCAATTAATATTTGACAAAGGAGGCAAGAGCATACAATGAGTCAAGACAGTCTCTTCAATAAATGGTGTTGGGAAAATTGGATCATTACATGCAAAAAATGAAACTAGACCATCAACTTACACCATACACAAAAATAAACTCAAAATGGATAAAAGACAAATGTAAGTCGTGAAACCATAAAAATCCTAGAAGAAACCATGGGCAGCAAAATCTCAGACATCTCTCATAGCAATATGCTTGTGGCTACATCTTCTAGGGCAAGGGAAACTAAGGAGAAAATAAACAAATGGGACTACATCAAAATAAAAATCTTCTGCACAGTAGAGATACCATCAACAAAATGAAAAGGGAACCCACTGTATGGGAAAACATTTGACAATGATACATCTGATAAAGGGTTAATATCCAAAATATATAAGGAATGCATACAACTTAATAAAAGACAAACAATCCCATTTAAAAAATGGGCAAAGGACCTATATAGACACTTCTCAAAGTGGACATACAGAAGGCCAAGAGACATATGAAAAAATGCTCAAAGTCACTGATCATCAGAGAGATGTGAATTAAAATGACAATGAGGTATCGCCTCACACCTGTCAGAATGGCTACCATCAACAAATCAACAAATGACAAGTGCTGGCGAGGATGTGGAGAAAAGGGAACCCTAGTACACTGCTGGTGGGAATGCAGACTGGTGCAGCCATTATGAAAAACAGTATGGAGTTTCCTCAAAAAATTAAACATGGAACTGTCATTTAACCTAGTGATCCCACTTCTAAGACTATATCCTAAGAAACACCAATCAGAAAGAATGCATCACCTCTACATTCATAGCAGCCCAATTTACAATAGCTAAGGCTTAGAAATAGCTCAAGTGCCCATCAGTAGGTGAATGGATAAAAAAATGTGGTACATGTACACAATGGAATACTATGCAGCAATAAAAAAGAAAGATCTCTTACCCTTTGAGACAGCATGGAGGGTCCTGGAGAGCATTATGCTAAGCAAAATAAGCCAGTCAGAGAAAGACAAGTATCACATGATCTCACTCAGATGTGGAATCTAATGAACAAAATAAACTGTTGGACAAAATAGATCCAGAGACAGAAGCATGGAACAGACTGTCGAATCTCAGAGGGAAGTCAGAGGTGGATGGGTAGGAAGAGATCACTCAAAGAATTTGTATGCATATATGCATAACCCATGGACACAGACAATAGGGTGGTAAAGGCCTTGAGTGGGGATGGGAGCAGGCTGGGAGAGGTCAATGGGGGGAAAAGGGGACATATGCAATACTTTCAGCAATAAAGATTTTTAGAAAATAAAAATTAAAAAAAAAGAATTTTTCAAGTTATGACAAATATTTATAAAGGTTATGGAAGAATCCTAATTTTTCTCGTTGATTATAAAAAATTTCTTTGCAGTTTCAGCTTGTCCAGTCACTTTTATAGGTCTGTACTACCATGCAAAGTGAGGAGTGTTTATATATAATATGAACTGCTATTATATCACTTAAAAGTAATTTAGTTGTTTATCTCTAGGCTGTAATCAATTCTTTTAATCTGACAATTGTACAATAATAAATGAATACCAACTTTTAAAACTTTTATGAATAACCTTGTAAACTCTAGTTTTAGACTGTTAAAGGGATATAAAGGCAAACATATAGGGTGGGACAAAAGTATATTTACAGTTGTTCATATGAAAAATAACACAATAACAAATAATAATACATGAATAAACTGTTTTCTCCTACTAATAACTGCAAACCTATTTTTGCCCCACCCTATAGATAAAGACATGATATAAATATAAGTAGAATAGTCCATAATCTAAGGGTACTGAACTCTGCATGGTCCTCACTGGGAAATATCATCATCAAGAAACATCTGAGCACTTTCAGGTGTAGGAAGGGAAAGCTCTCTTTCCACTGGGGTTGCTGAGTTAATAAGAAGCAAGCCTGGAGGTACTGGTGGCCATCTTGTATTAGAATACACACAAAGGGAAGTGGAGCTGAGAGGTGGAGGGGAAGAGAGTTCTGATAATACCTTCAGAGACTCTAAATAGAGCCTGATTAATTCAAATGCCCTTGGACTTTAGTCATGCAAACCAGTAAATTCCCCTTTTGCTTAAGCTAGTGTGAGGTGGGTTTTTGTCATCCACAATGGAAACTGTCTTTCCTAATACACTGGGTTATTTAACTTTGATAAGTAATCAAATAATGTTTTGTGTTACAAAACAAAAATATATTTTAAAATATCAACTGCAGTTTTACCTTCTGAAATTAAACTCCTGAGTTATGAAACATACTGGGAGTACTGTGTTGGTATTCTATCAAACAAAAACATACCAATGGCAGTGGGAAAATTATTATTTTTTCTAACCAGAGACTTTTAAGGTGATTATGATTTCACCTTAAAGTTCAGCTCATAGCCCTAGCCAGTTTGGCTCAGTGGATAGAACATCGGCCTACGGACTGAAGGGTTCCAGGTTCGATTCCAGCCAGGGACACATGCCAGGGTTGTGGCTGGATCCACAGTAGGGGGCATGCAGGAGGCAGCCAATCAATGATTCTCTCTCATCTTTGATGTTTCTATCTTTCTTCCTCTCCCTTCCTCTCTCTGAAATCAATAAAAAGATATATATATATATATATATATATATATATATATATATATATATAATTTTAAAGGTCAGTTAATTGGTGGTGCCATAATTGAAAATTGAGTCTTAGTTTAAAATCAATAAATTGCTTTCCCTAATCCAAACTGACCTAAAATAAGACTAATAGTTAATCTAAAGTGCCAGGTAATCTCAAAGTGGACATCATTTTATTGTTACAGGAAAGCTGTGTTTTGGTCAAATAGCCCAATTTCCTCCCAAAAATATCTTTTGAGTTTCTGGGATATCAAGGCAGGAGTGGAAAAGAAGAAATTAACATATTTAACACAATGATTTGTGTAACTTTGTACAGAAACTGTATTACTCTCTTAGAGGCATACAGCATGCAGAAAAAGGTATCTTATTTGCCCATTCATCATTTGAGATGCACAAATGCTTATCTATTTATATAAAAACCCTGGGTGTAACACCCATCACAACCAAAGCTTGACCAACCAGAAGGAAGTCATCCCTGCAGGGGTTCCTTTAGCAATGGCTGCACCCTCCCCAAACTGTTTCCTGAGGCAGGAACCGGCCCTCGGAGTGTGGAGGCGTATCTTTATAAACTTTTAATACATTATAATAGAGGTTGTGGTGGTACTGTTTTACAAACAGCGTCTACAGGAATTGCTGTAAATTTACTTCTTGGTGGAAGAACCTTTCATTCCCAATATAAATTACCAATTCCATTAAATGAAACTTCAATTTCCAGACTTGATATAAACAGTGAAGTTGCTAAAACTATTAAAAAGGCCCAACTTCTCATTATTGATGAATGCACCATGGCATCCAGTCAGGCTATAAACACCATAGACAGATTACTAAGAGAAATTATGAATTTGAATGTTGTATTTGGTGGGAAAGTTCTCTTTCTTGGAGGGGATTTTCGATAATGTCTCAGTATTGTACCGCATGCTATGCGATCGGCCATAGTACAAATGAGTTTACTGTACTGTTTGGGGATGTTTCAGAAAGTTGTCTCTTACAACAAATATGAGATCAGAGGATTCTGCTTATAGTGAATGGTTAGTAAAACTTGGAGATGGCAAACTGGATAGCAGTTTTCATTTAGGAATAGATATTATTGAAATCCCCTGTGAAATGATTTGTAATGGATCTATTATTGAAGCCACCTTTGGAAATAGTATAGCTATAGATAATGTTAAAAATATATCTATAAACATGCAATTCTTTGTCCAAAAAATGAGCACGTTCAAAAATTAAATGAAGATTTTGAATATACTTGATGGAGATTTTCACACATATTTGAGTGATGATTCCATTGATTCAACAGATGATACAGAAAAGGAAAATTTTGCCATCGAATTTCTTAATATTACTCCTTCGGGAATGCCGTGTCATAAATTAAAATTGAAAGTGGGTGCAATCACCATGCTATTGAGAAATCTTAATAGTAAATGGGGTCTTTGTAATGGTACCAGATTTATTATCAAAAGATTACAACCTAACATTATCAAAGCTGAAGTATTAACAGGATCTGCAGAGGGAGAGGTTGTTCTGATTTCAAGAGCTGATTTGTCCTCATCTGACACTGGCCTCCCATTTAAATTAATTTGATGACAGTTTCCCGTGATGCCAGCCTTTGACATGACTATTAATAAATCACAAGGACAAACTCTAGACAGAGTAGGAATATTCCTACCTGAACCCGTTTTCACACATGGTCAGTTATATGTTGCTTTCTCTCAAGTTCGAAGAGCATGTGATGTTAAAGTTCTAAATACTTCATAACAAGGGAAATTAGTCAAGCACTTTGAAAGTGTTTTCACTCTTAATGCAGTGTACAGGGAGATATTAGAATAAGTTTAATCACTTTATTGGTCATTGTTTGCATCACTGTTGTTTTTATATCATGTTTTTGTTGTTTTTATGTCATGTCTGTTTTGTTATATTCTTTTGATACTATTTATTAATAAATTTATATATTATTTTCATATATATTTTACTAATCTTTCATCTCTCACACTGCTATTATAGAGAAAGGGCAAATAGCAATATTACAATATTTCCTCTAATTAATTCCCTTTTAATGTGCACGAATTTCGTGCACGGGGCCACTATTATATACATAAGTTCCACTTTGAAAGACCAGACTTATTCAATCTGATTAAAAAAAAAAAATCACAGCAAAAATAAACAATACCTTTGAAGCAGCTTTACAAATAGATTCTTGAGTAACTAATGGCAAGCTTCAGTGCATAAACAGATTACAACTGATTCTACCAAAGCAAATGCAATGTGAAAGTACTGCAGCTTAGTGGTACCAGAAAGAAAGAAAAATTCCAGTAAGGTTAATTGTGGCTAAACACTGTTTTGCAATGGAAAGTTTCAAAGTCACTAAACAAGTTGCAACTACTTTTGGTTTCCAAAGGGTGACTCTGAACAGAGGCCAGACCATACAAAACCTGCCTCCTGAAATGTGGCTTTCCAGTGGAATACTGATTTTCTTAATACCTAGAAAAATGAGATGTTTTTTTCAATCTACTTTGTGAAATCCATAAACCTTATTTTTCACTTTCAAAATAACCTAAATTTAATTAACATAAAGGGAAATTTCTATTTTAAAGAATAAGATCTGTTATGTGAAATAGTCCAAATCTGAAAATAGATGTTTTCAACTTATGCCAGTGGTCCTCTAACACATACATTGTACTTCTATTTCAGAAAACGGTGTGGATCTTTTATTGTGCTTTAAAATCCTGACAAAATCTCCCCACACTGTTTAGGTCCGTGGTCGGCAAACTGCAGCTCGCGAGCCACATGTGGCTCTTTGGCCCCTTGAGTGTGGCCACGAAGTTTCAATCGCACTGTCTGTGCACGCCTGCACGTTGTATTTTGTGGAAGAACCACACAAGGGGCCGCAGTTTGCCAACCACTGGTTTAGGTAGATACTGTGGGCCAAGAGTAGTATGTACCTGCAAAGTTTTATTATTAGCTCAATTTTCTGACTAGATTTACATCAGACGTACTAACAAACCTTACCTTCCTGTTGCTCCATTACCTGGAGGTAAGAGAATGTAAGAGTTAAAGAAAAGCCAACACAAATGTCTTTTTAAATGAATCTTCCCTAAAATAAATAGAAGTCAACCAGCCTATGGCCTGTGGGTTTACATTTCAGTTGGATTTGGAGACAAGTCCTGATATCAACAAAATTTAGATTACAAATAAGATTTTACAGCTTTGTCAAAACAAACAAAAAATTTTGGCATTAACTGTTTAAACAAATGTAACATTTTCTTGATTATGTCAGTCTATTCCATTCAGAATTGTTATGAAGGCATTACCCTAAACATTTTGAAATGCTATCTAAGGTAAAGGAACTTTTTCTAAATACACCTAACACACCCATTTATAACTCCAGTTTCTCTGTTTTGCTCTTCTGAGCTGCAGCATATAGGATTATCAAAATAATTTTCAGTCTAAATATTACAGGGAGATTTCCTTTGGAGAGACTTCCTGTAGTAGGGTTTTATGAATTTAGAAGCAACTTCAAAATGCAATTAAGGCTGACTTCTCATACCACTGTCTTTAACATCATACAAATTTAAAATAAAAGACCCAGAGAGCTCACAGTAATGATTTACTCATTGCTGTCATCTAACTTTTCACCCTCCTGGAGAACAGGCTGTGCCCTGCACTCACCACTTTCTCTTTGGATCTCAAGACTCCCAGCTTCCCAAACCGAACATGAAAAGGTGAACACTGATAGGTGCCATCCTGCTGCCGCACCACAATGACATCGATGCACCCAGACAAGGTGGCTTGGTTAATACCCTTGTAGAGCTCCTTCACAGTGACAATCACCTGCCCGGCCAGCTGCCCCACATAATTCATGGTTTGAGACTACAAAAGACAAGAAAAAAAAAAAGTTAGATGCAATTTTAACACGGTATTTGTGGATTTAATGACAATGACAAAGAAAAAAACTAAAGTGACTAAAATTGCATTACTCATTTGTACACCAGACTATGCACCATTAGTAACATTGATGATTTTGAACCCATCATTCTCATGCTACCACTGTTTCTATACATTTTCACACATAGACAATTCTACACGGTCCTCCTTTGTATCTGAGGTATGCACAAGTTCCTTTTCCTTTCCATCATCAAGGATGGTGCTAGATGCCATTAGATATTTTTCTGCAAAGTAAAGAACCTGCACAGAACCACCAAAGAACCCAGACCACCATCACTGCCCATCTGCCTAAGATGGCTATTGCATCCTCTCTGGCCATAGCAGACAAACAGGTTAAAAAAATGACCAAAGATCACCCCCAGGAGACCCTGCTGAAAGATAAATGAGAGCTGCGTTTTCTATGGGATATTATTAATGGAATATTATGGTTCAGACAGATGCTAGATTAAATAAACTCTAGTGAGCTAGACTGGGTCTAATCTAATTTACAACATTACTTCTAGGGAAAATCCCTTCATGCTACAGCGTAACTCACTGGAACATACATTCATGTTCCACAAAGTTCAAAACCAAAAACTGGGTTTAATCTTGTTCTTCGGCAGAAATTCACTGTTCAAACCAGGATCACAAGGCTGGAGGAATCCTCCAAAAAGGGTCAAAAAAGAAGGTGAGGGCACCTCACAAGTCTACAGGGCTGAGAGGAAATGCTTTCTGTCTCTGTGACCCACACCTGCTGTGGCTGCGGTTAGGGCTGGCTTTGTCTGACAACAAAATGGGGTACCCATGATATGATATGCTGTGAGGGCAAGTGGGGAAGTCTCCTGGCACCCCCCTCAACTTTGTATTAATGCTTGACTGATAGTGGCAATTATTAAAAATGTTTTTATTGATTTTTAGAGAGAGATGAAGTTGAGAGGGATAGAGAGAAACATCAATGAGAGAGAAATCATCACTCGGCTGCCTCCTGCATGCCCCTACAGGGGATTGAGCCTGAAACCCAGGCATGTGCCCTAATCAGGAATCGAATCAGTGACCTCTTGGTTCCTGGGTCGACGCTCAACAGCTAAGCCACACTGGCCAGGCTGATAGTGACAATTTTAAAATTAGTTTTGTTATAATTTAAAAAAACAACAACACATAGCTAATTAAATAAGCCTTTTCTTAAAAGAAACTGAAAATGGTAACTTTTATGCAACTTCATTCAGCCATAAACAAGTCTTATAAAGTAAATCTATAATAAGCTTACATCAGCATGGAATCAATAGAATCCATAATTAAGTGTAACTACACCTATTCAATATGATTTTAATTACCATGGTTGAAGGATATGCTGTTTGTTATAAAAGAAAGTCTATTGTGTAAATGCCAGTTGTTAAATGTAGAAAAATACAGTCTGTCGAATGACTAATTTTCTCTTAGCAGATATAAAACAATTCTGTTTATGTTATGAAGGCTGAGAAAACAAAAGTAAAGGGAGTCCTTATGCCTTAATAGTCACTATACCCTGGGAATGAGGAGCAAAACAGTGCTAGGGGAGAACCCAAAAAGGCTGGGGGAGGGGGGAGGGCTTCCTCATGGTTATGTCTGGAGGAAAAGCAGTTAGTCATTGTATACATGATACCTTAAACAGCTTCCTCTTTTAAGCAGAATCTAGCACCATAAAACTTTATTCCTACATGTCCAGCTCAGCACTAGCAATAATAAAACCCAGCGACGGCAAAGTCAGGTCTCTGACACCACCAACCTGTCCTGATCATAGTCTAGGAAAGCAGGACTCTGTGCGAGGGCAGAAAAGATAGATGGTTGGGTAAGCCAGTAAAATAAGCTTTTGAAATAAAACTAAGATTAAAAAATATAGCAAAGTAAACTATCATATTTTATAGTGAATGATGAGAAAAAGAAGTGGAAGAGAAGAGAACATTAACTCGAGAACAGAGAGTGACAGAGACCAAGGGAGAAGAATGCAGAAAGAGATAGATAAAAATTCAGAGGAAAAGCCAAGACGTTACATAATCAGAAAGCAAACCGACATAAAGATTCCCACACAGAAAGAACACCGTGGAACTGAAGAATGTTCATAGAACAGCATCCCTATCTTCCAGCTCACAAGCATGAAAAAAAACATTAAAATGCATTTATTGATTCTTAAAACTGGAAGAATTAATCCAACTCAGTCTTGCAACAAATACCAAAAAGGCTTCTAGCATTTTATTCTGAAATATGATAAAGTTAACAATCATCACAGTACTACCATTTTTGAAAGCCTACTATTCTTAAGCTTATTAATAAGCATTATCATCTCAGAACCACCTTGTAGGTAAATAGAATTTCTATTTTTAAAGATAATAAAATTGAGGCTTAGAAAGTTTTTAAGTATTATTATGGACTGAATGTTTACCCCCAACACCCAAATTCATAGGTTGAAGCTCTAACTCGGAGATGCAGTCTTTGGGAAGTCATTACGTTTACATGAGGTCATGAGGACATTGATTCCCCCATGATGGGACCAATGTCTTTACTAGAAGAAGACAGAGCATGCTCTCTCTCCTCCCACCATGTGAGGACACAGTGAGAGGGAGCTGTCTACATCCAGGATGAGGGCTGGCTAAGACAAGTATCTTCTTTAACATCCTATGTTACACTGCTTTTCAATTTAGCGATGCTTCCAGTCGACAGAGAGACACTCCTTTCACCAAGAAATTCACAACAGTATCAGACAGCCCTAGTTATTATGTCCACTAGAAATCACACTGAATTATGTACCACCCTCTTCTAAAGGACACTACTACACACCAAAGAGTTTATTGTACAACCACAACATGGTCTCACTTACTCTGGGCTAAGCATTATTATTCCTTAAAATATTGGAAATGACTATGTTTACTTCCACTTTAAACGCAGAATTATCTGTTTCTTTAAATGGGAGACCCAAAGCTAGACAAATGGCACAGACAGGCCTGGCAGGCACTTATAGATCACTATACTAAAAAATGAAAAGAAAAAAAAAATCAGTATGGGGTAATCAACTAAAAAACTATTAGAGGTCAAATGGCCCTTCATACATAAAATTCAATAGATCAAACAGCCCTTCATATATGCAATTCAATGGTACCCACTATCAGATTTTTCTTATCAAATAATTTAAACATACACTAGTGCCTGGAATAAATGGGTAGCTTTCCAGATTCAATTATTTACTGGAAGTTTAAAGATTTGCTTAGCAACTTTACCTGAGCATCAAAGACACTAAAGCAAATCATCACGATACATAGTAGAGATTTATAAATGGAAAGCATCAGTAAATAGGTTCAAATACAGATCTCCTCCCTCCTCCAAAAACCGCCCAAAATTATTTAAGGTAATTTGTTCAATCAAAAATAAAAATGTTTGTTAGAGAAAAGAGTAACTACCAAGATATAGGTAGCCATTAAAATATTACAATTTAAAAATTGTTATCAATACAAATTGATATATTCTAAACTGCTTTTATACATATAATCAAAATCTGTTTCCTAAGTTTTAAGTTTACCTTCATATATCCATTTTATACTAGTACTAGAGGCTGGGTGCACGCATTCGTGCATGGGTGGGGTCCGGCCGGCCCACCGCCATCAGGGCGATTAGGCTGGGCCGGCCGGGGGAAGGGGCCGAGGACTGTTGGCCAGCAGGCTCTGCCCCCAATCGAGGTGGGTGGGGCCGATCAGGGGCGGGGATGGCCAGGGGGAGAGGCTGCAGGTGGTTGGGTCGGACATTCCCCACCCCTGTTCTAGAGCCTATGCCCTTCCCTGAATTGCTAAGTGACAGAAATGCTCTAAGCAATGATGAAACCCCCAGATTCCTTGCTGCAAGTGAAATCTCAGAGAAAAAGCAAAGACAATACATAATCAGAAAATCAGACTGACAAAGATGCCCATAGAAAGAGTACTGTGGAACTGAATTTGTTCCTAGAAGAGCATCCCTCCCTATCTTCAAGCTCACAAGCACAAATCACACACATACATACACACACATACCAGGTATTTTTTAGGAACTGTAATATTTTTTACTTAATGCTACCTGGACACATAAACATTATGATTAGAGAGAGTCCAAAGAACCATAACCATCCTCCAAGTCTCCTCCACATATCGCTATGAGTTAGCATTGACTTTTAACCCTTCCACTAGACCCAAGGTTCACTGTTAGGGTGTGAACTTCCTGGGAGATTCCATGTGATGAGGATTTGAGGACAGCTTTTATCGAAGAACTTGCCCTCAACATTCCATCTAACCTTCTGCTTACAGCTATGAGGGAATGTGCTATTCAGGAAACAAACACCAGAACACTGTTACCTCTACACATTCCAGCGTATACCTAGGCTCTGGGACCAAATTCCTCCAGGCACCCAAGCTTACACTCTGCGTTTGAATAGCATTTATTTTTTAAGAACTTTCTCAAACATACTTCATTTGATCTTCAAAAGAAGAATTTATGTTAAGCAAGGCAGACATTATTCATTTCATTTTGCATTTAGACTGAGAAGGTGTTTACTACTATTCACTAGAACGTAGTGCCACTGTGACTCAGGGTCCCAACCTCCCTGCTACTTCCCATCTGTGGTTTAAATCTTCAGACTGGAGTTCCTGAAGACAAGAGATCTGAAGGCTGAACTCAAGTTGTATTTAAGTTCTCCAAGGGTCCCAGAGTTCCCAAAAGGAGGGTACCACTCAGCCTTGCTGAAAACTTTACTTCCTGAACAGTGGGTGATGAAAGGTAACAATAGCACACACAGCAGCACCTGCAAAATTCTCCCTGGTTTGGGACAAGAGGGGGTGAAAGTCCCCTAGCAGATGTGGGGGCTGATGAACTCAGTCAAGACATTTTCTCTAAACCTTGTATCTTGTGCCCAGCAGACACATGGGAACCATAATGACCTACAGGAGGTT